TGCATCCACCCCGTTCGCGGCTCTTCTGGGTTGTAAAGTATGACACCAATCTGAGCGGAGACCCGCCAGGAACCAGCCCCGGCAGCATTCTCCTGGCGTGCATGAGGGTACTGAGCCTTGAATTGCTCAAGCCATGCAGCCGTATCCTCAGTCTCTGCAAACTTGATGTCAACCTCGGGAGCATTGTTGTCCAAGCTCTCTTCAGCAGGGCCCTGGAGCACCTTGAACTCCGTATCCGGATAAGACTTCTCTGGAGTGGGCATGGTCGGAGAGCACTCGATGTAAATGCTCAGGGAATTGACATTGTTACCGCGTGGGAAGAACTTGATGGTCCACCAATAGCCACCCATGTAAGCTGGGGGCGAGCGCATGATTTTAGCGCGGTTGGGGCGGTCCGGAGAGCCACGAACGCCTTTGATCTTCCACGTCAGACGTGCCTTCTGGATAGGACGGTACTCTGGATCATCCAGATCGGCGTGAAAATTCTTCTCCCAGTAGTCATCTAGGCTAGTCAGCAGTCCGCTCCACGTTTCTGACCTTCGTCCCATGGTTTGGAAGCTTACACTCATAGGCGCTATAGTCGCCATCCGCTGCAGATTCAATTTCCTTCATCTCTGTCTCGTCCGGCACCGTAGAGTCCTCCTCAATCTCAGCCCAGTAGGCATGTTCTAATTCAGGTGGGGCTGGTTGACCCGCTGATGCCGGGTCGGCATCCTCGATGATCTGTGTTTCGCCTTGCGGGGCATCTGGGAGCTCCTCAGATCGAGGCTCTGTCGATGGTTCGGAAGGCATGTCGCTAGACGGCTCAGGAGCATCCTCCGTGGTGGTCTCAATGGTCACCGTTGTTGCCGTGGCTGGCTCAGTTGGAATGGAGTCGGTGGTAAGGGTGATCGGAGGGGGCACCTGGTCCACCGAAGCGGTAGAGTTCTCGATCTGGGAATCCATTTCTGGGATTCAAGAAAATGGACAAGTGTGACAAGAATCAAAAGACGACGAGTCAAAGTAGCAATGGGGTGACCTGTCCCTAAAGGCTACTGTCGAAGGCGAGACAAAACACGAGTGAAGGAGGGCTAGACTGGGGATGATGAGTCAAAGCTGAGAAACACGAGGAGTCTTAGCCTCAAGATGTGTGCAACCAACAGAAGACAATCAGACATTCAAGGGCTAGGAAGTCTGCTGCAATGCTGCCTGCTTGAGTGTTTGAATGGCAGGCTGACGACTCCCCGAAAAGTGGTCAGGCTGCAGACAGAGGGGCAATAATGGGGGGATTGAAACGTGAGAGCCTGACAGGCAGAAAAAAAAGCGAGGGTCTAGAAAAGGCCAACGATAAGACGCAACGAGCAAGGCTTATCGGGGGAAAAGGTGGCCCAAGGCTGGAGCAGCAGATAATATATTAGGGGCACAAGTGTCAATCACTAGTGCTGAGAAAGACAAAATGAGAGAAGGGAATAGTGTGAGGGGAAGTGGAGGTTGGCTGATGCTCAGCAACAGTTTCCCACAGTTTATCACACTGAATCGGAGAGATTGTGCTGTACTCCCCCGTATGTTAAGTATATCAAATCCGGGGAAGGAGATGCGGGAAGTATAGATAAGTAGAGAGAGAAGCTATCCCAACCCGCAAAAGAGGATGAAAGATGGTAAAAACGCAGGAAAGCAGTTGAAGGGAGGAAAGAAGGAAGGGGAAGGAAAGGATCAACTGAAAAGAAGTAGATGAAGAAGAAATCAGAAGAAGCAACAAAAGCGAGTGAGAGAGAGAGCTAGGTACTAAACTGATCGAGGGGGGGGAGAGCCAATGGCAAAAGGATGAGGATGAGGCGGCAATGCAGCGGCCAAATCACGAGGCGCTCACCGCTGGTTATTGGGGAATGAGAGGGAATCAGAGCCACTTCTGCTTCTTTTTCCCCCGGATTATTAACATCCGTCTCCATCCCGTCCATTGCCACCACACTCGGGTAAAGCAATTAGAGATGAAAGAACTAAAGAGGAAAAAAAAAAAAATCAATTGTTCTCACCCGACCAGATTGCGTGGAAAGAACCAACCAAAAAAAAAAAAAAAGAGAATAAAATCAAAATATGGAGCACTATACAGGAAATTGTCCAGTCCAGTCCCGTCTGTCCTGTACCATCTTATCGATTGTCGCGCGATTGATCGACCGAACTAGCCGGGGGGGGAGAAACCAACACACCAGGAACTGACCTGTCAATTTGCGTTGGTTGCCTTTCCCCTCCTTTCCATCAATCCCCCCCTCACCCTCGAGGGAAGAAGTGGGTATGAATACAACACATCCAGTTCAAATCAAAGAAAACATCTTCAAGGCATGGAAACTCCATTTCATTGTTTATTATCCCAGGTACAACTTTCTTTTCATTGAGTTCTTTGTGCAGTAGGTCTTTTTCGCATGCATCCCTCGGAACTTGGAACGGCAAGGTCAAACACCCAGCCTGGAGGTCCGTCCGATCCTCTGGCCGGTGGCAACAGTCTCGGATAGGACAAACTAATTGAGGGCCTTTTCCACGGCTATGATCGACCTGTGGAAACGCTCCATCGACCCAGTGCAATTCCATCGGTTCCATTCGCCGTTCCACCTGTTGGTATTTTCCCCTCTTCGCCCAAACTTTTTGCCCCTCTGCCGATCCAACGACCTCTCCCGAACCTCCGGGTTTTCGATGGGTTGCCGTCCTCTGCCGTGCAGATTCTGTCCCAGGGCCTCGGAGCTGCTCGTCCGATTTGCCTCCCTTCTGGATATCCTCTCTGACTGCAGCGCAATAAGTGGGGGGGGTTAGCGTGACCGTAGCGCCACGCCTGGATCGGCCTTTAGTTGTCGACGCGGGGCCGAGATAGGAGGGGAGCTCTCCGAGAAATCGCCCAAGTGCTCAGTGAAGGGCGCCTCGAATGAGCGAGAATGCGGCCTTTGAAGTACTGGAAGTGCAGAAACCGGAAACAACTCATGCATCGGCCAATTCGCCAAATGTCTGCCGAAGTTTACGCAGTGGCCATGATCAATTCTGGCATTGGGAGGCATCCGGTGCCCCTGCATCTGCTCTCGCAAATGAAGCGGCCACAATGAGTGGAAAGACAACTGTAGCTTCTGCATACACCTTCACCGATTCACCGTCAGTTTTGATCTTGCCCCAGCTGACTGCCTCATCCGGTCGCGCGCCGGCATCGCTTCCATCGAACTCTTGACCAGTGTTCACGTAGACCGCATGCTCCGCACCGTTCCGCATCAGACAGGCATTCGCAATATGGTGTTTGATGACACCACCTCCGAGGATGATCATTCCCGCCCGAGCAGCACGGACAGCCATGGTATTGATCCGGCGCACATCGTCGACAATATCAACGCGCAACCGTTGCGGGGAAGATTTGAAAGTGTGGAAGTAGAGCATGTCTCCAAGGGAGCCGTCAGTCAGAGCCGGACAGAAAACTGGAATGTTGTTGCGGGCGGCCCAATACAGCACCGAGTCCTCGTTGTTGATTTCACGACCCAGGCGTTCGGTGATGCGACTCGGGGTCCAGTGCAGTTCGTCTTCGTCGTCCCCCGTTTCCAACGCCTTCTTCTTCGCGGCCTCCTGCTCTTCTAGCATCTTATCCAGAATCGGGACCAGCCAATCCTCAAAGGCGCAGTAGTTGCTATTGGGGACAATCAAATTGCCGATCCGATTCAAACCTTTAGCCCGCAGTCCCGCGCCGGGTGTAGAGAAGGAGCCCATGTAGGTTGGAGCCAAGCACTTGATTAAATCTTCTTCCACACCGCCAGCAGTGGTGACAATGGCGGAAACATGGTTGTTTTTGACGAGGTAGCGAATGGTGTCGCGGAGGCCGGAGGAGATCAAGTTGGAAGTGTACCCGAGAAAGATGGTCGTTTTGGCACCGGTTTCGGGATGGCGGTAAGCTTTCTTTCAGAACCGAGTCCTGTCAGCGAGTGTGCCTTTTAGGATTAATATGGTAGGTAGAGTGGCCTTACCATGTTGTTGATAATGCGGGCAGCGTCTGCGACCGCACTGCCTTGGAAACCCGTATATCTCATGTTGTCGACCATTTCGGCAACAGTTATGTCCCGGCCCTTGTAAAGACCAAAATCCACTCCGCTCACTTTGTGTGTGCCTTCTGGCACAGGCTCTGATGCGACCAAGACAGCATCGGTGACGGAGGAGGGAGGGGCATTCTCGGCCGCCGGGACGTTGTTCGCAGACATTTTTGGGTGAACTTTGTGGGGAAACCAGTTGATTGAGATTCAAATGCTAGGTATAAGAAGAATAAATAGCACTGAAATGATTTCCAGTATTGTTCCCTCGATCGATGCTCGACAGAAGGAACGCGAGAAGAGTGGTGAAGGTTGGTGGTCACGTCAAGAAAAAAAAAAGCGGGTTATGTTTTCCCCTTAGGCTAGCCTTATTTTTTTGTTGGCACTTTTTTTCCAGTTTCCCCCTTCCTGCTAGAAGCGATGGCGGGGGCTCGCAGGAATTGCCCGGCGGCGGGAATTGGCAGATGGCAGGCAGTTCAAGGTTCAAGGTTGGCAGCCCCGGAGGCAGAATTGGCAGCTGCTGCACGGATGCCTGAATATCTGCCTGAGGCCAGAATAAACATTTGACACCTCAGGCATTAGTGGAAACTGGACCCCTGGCCTGAGGCCAACTCCGCAAGTTATTTTTGAGTTTCCCCTAGAAAAGCGAGTCCCTGCAATCGAGTGACTCCCTGGCCAACTAAAAGCATCCGACTCCATTGCCTGGGCCCCATCGCTGAGTCTGGTCAGAGTCGCTCGTTTTTCCCTCTTGCTCCAACCTACCTCTTTCATGATCCTCTTCTTGACTCTGTCTAGACTCTGACCTCGAAATCCTTCCAGTCCATCCTCAATAATCATTTAACATTTACCTTCTGTTTAACCTCTAACTTCTCAAATACCGTCGGATTTCCCTTCCAACCACCGCCGTTACACGCAAACCGATCTTGAGTCTCTGGGCGCGTTCCGGCACCGAGAACGAAGACCGCGATCCCATCGCTGGGGATTTTGCTGCCCAGCTCCCATTTCCACTCCCACTCCCACTCCCTTGCAGCGCAGTCTTTCCGGTGATTTACTTGACACGTTCACCCATCCGACACTGCGTACGACAGCTCCAGTTACGTTGAAAGATCAGGTAAATTGAGTTTGCGTCTTTTGATTTCTGTTTGCTATTGTTTCCGTCAGAAGTTCGAGGTTTCGTGGTTCTTTATTATCATCAATTCCATCACCCTCATCATCTTCATGTTCTTTGAAACGGCTTTGCTCTACCACTCTCGGCCACTCCGATAAAGATTTCCGGCTGTGTGAGACACTGTACTCCGTTCCTTGAGTCGTGACCAGCCAGACGGTCTTCCCTCGCACTGGAAATCGAAATCTGTCTGCTGCCGCCTGCGTGATCCCCGATCCACCCAGGAAAGCTGCCCCGGCTTGTCCAGTCACGGGCTGAAACAATCGGCGCCAACCGTGGCTGCCGCTAAGCATGAGGGATGGTGCCAAATTGGGATCCGCGCTAAGTGGATTGAACTGGATTCATGTTAAAATGATTACCTAATTTTCAATCCTGGCCCGTGCGTTTTTCTCTTTTTCCAGTGACTGGCAACTGCACCCATGCTGGGCTGGCTCGGAGCTGGCTCTGGGCTGGCATGCTTCATTCTACCATCACGTGTTCTCCACTGCCCGTTCGTTCGTCGGTCGCTCGGTCGCTCGTCCGATCGTTACTCGCTCGCGCTTTGGCTGCGACTGCGACTACTGCTGCTGTCGCTGCTGCTGCCGCTTCCGCCTCTTTGCGTCAATTGGTCTTTCCAACCCGCTCTTTTCGAGACTCCTGGTTCTTCTTCTGTCCGTTTGTCTCATATCCATCCATTTCCTCATTTTCCTTTCTTTTTCTTTACTCTACTGGATTTTTGACTTTTGTTTACTTTACCCTTTCCCTTTATTTCCTTTTGGACATACTTTCTCCTCGACGTCCCAATCTCATCCCACCCAGTACCTCGCCTTGGTTGACCTCTGGAGTCCCACGTTACTAATCTGTCGCAGGCATCCTGCCGGGTTGCTTTGTCTCATGTGCACTAGCATGACCTGGTGATGTCTCAAAGATACCCTCCGCCGTCTGGGTTCAACTCCCGTGACCGTTCTCCGCAGCGTTTTGGAGACCGTCGACCCCCGGCAGGACCCCGAGGATCCGACGATGCCAACATCCCTCCCTTGGGCCGAGAGCCACCTCGAGGTCCTAAAGCTTTGATTGATCCGCCTCGAGGTGCTACATTTGCTGGTCGTGGCCGAGGATACACCGCCCGGGGAGGAGACTTCCGAGAACGAGATCGAGACATTCGAGATCGCGAACGAGATCGAGACCGAGATTTTCGCGATGTCCGTGATGGCCCGCCACCTTTTCGCCGCGACCTGGATCGAGATCGGGACTGGAACCGGCGCGATCGCGACTTCGATCCTCGAGAACCCCGCATCGGCTTCGGACGCGGTCGCTCGCGCTCTCCCCCACCGCCTCGCGACTTCCGGGATATAAGAGAGCCTCTTGGCCGAGATCCTGATCTCGTCCGCATGCGGCGCGGCTCCCGAGATAGTTTGATATCGGTTTCCTCGGCAGTGCCTGACGTCCCGGCAGGAAACAGTCACCATGTTCGGACCGGTCCCCCCATTCGTGGGCGTGGTCGGGGTGAGTGGGAAGCAGGACGCGGCAGAGGCCGGCTGCCTTATTTAGACGATCGTGACACCTTCAGGCGCAGAAGTCGGTCGCGCGACGGACGCTGGGATCGGGAACGCGATCGAGACCGGGAACGAGAACGGGACCGGGAACGTGAGCGTGAAAGAGAACGAGATAGAGATCGCATACTCGACCGCGACCGTGAACGAGAACGTGAACGAGTACCGTTAGACCGCGACCGTGAGATTGACCGAAGAGATCGGGAAAGAGAGCGTGACATACTGCAGGAGAGACGAGAAAGATTCGAACGACGAGACGACTTGGAACGCCGCGTTGAGCGCGATGACCGGGAGCGACCGGGGGATCACTGGAAGCGTGAGCCGCCTGCCAATCGATTGGAGAATCCAAATCGGATACCTAGCATATCTGCCGCCTCACCTGTCGCTACTGCACCCCAACCAACAATCCCTGCAGTTCCCGAGCGGGTACCTGAGCCCCCTGTTGTTGAGTCACCACGCAAGCCGTCTGGAGGAGATGTCCGCCGCGAGCCAGAACGAACTGAGCCACCTGCACCACCAGGTCGTGCGGAGCCCCCGAAAGACGCAGTAGTTGCGCCGCCCGTGAAACGATCTCCTCCCCCGGCTGCGCCCCAGGTTCCCGCATTCGGTTCGGTTACGGCACCAATTCCCGAAATCACGGCAGACAAAACAACGGCAGACTCGGCGCCTGCTGCATCCACTGTTGCCAACCCCGAAAAGGAACGCCCCGAGGCGCCGCCACGGGCCTTAGTACATCCACCCACTGCCCCCAAAGCTGATCGGGCACCTCCTCAGCTGCCTCTCGAGCAGCGAATCCGACGCGATGAGACCAGACGTGACGACATAATCGACACACCGGCAAAGCCTGAACCCATCGCACGTGTGCCCAAACCGCACGCCGCACCCCCACCCAGTGGACCGAAGGTAGCAGAGCTTTCTCCGCCTACTGCGCCCGCTGCCATGGTGGCCAAGGAGACATCGGCCTTCCACGAGGCAACGTCGCCAAGCAAGCCAGGGCCTGTCCCGATGACGGTAGATTTTGGCCGAAGGCCGTCCGCGGCAGGACGTGCGGTATCTCCGGGCGCCCACACCTCCCCTAGGATGCCGAATTCAACGATCCCAACTGGACCACGTGCTCTTCAACAGCGACCGTCTGTTTCCCGCGGGCCGCCCAAGCCTAACAAGCAATGGGTTCGTCCTGGATACAGTCGTCCACCAGCCGGGCCAAGTTCAACCCTCCCTGCAAAACGGGACTCTATTGATGAAAAAGAGCGTAGTCTTTCGGTCAGCGAAGAGCATTGGCGGGATTCACGTACTGATATGGATGATTCAGGCTCAGGGCCAGAGGCAGGAGAAATAGTCAGTGAAAAGGATCCGACTGAGCCAAGGCTTGAACTCCCACCTTCCCCTCCCCTAGCGGCGCAGCCAGAGAGACCCAGGGAAAGATCCTCTCCGCCTGTAGAGAAGGAAAAAACACCCGAAAAGCAAACGGAAAAGCCAGCGGAAAAGCCAGCAGACGCACCGAAGAATGTGGTTATCCCCGATTTTACACGGACTAGCGACGAAGAGGAAGACGAGAATATCGTGTTCACCCAAGACTATCTTGAAGAAAGGAAAAGGGTGTTCGAGAAGGACATGCAAGCCCTCCGAGCGGAGCTTCCTCCGTCTCCTTTAGAAGATCCGATCATAATGACTCTACTGATGCGTATCCAGCTACTTGGTGCCTTAGCCCATGCCACCGTCGAAGACAAAGCATCAAGCCCTCCGCCTGTCCGGGAGGAAGAGGAAATAGCCAGCGATGAGAAGCCGGATGCAATGGACGTGGACACCGAGCCAAACGGAAAGGCCGAAGATCACGAGCCACCGACCAAGGAGGTTATGGAATCCGTGCCTGCTGCTGAAGTACTCTCTGTGGAGACTTTGCCCTTTCTCAACACTGGTCCCCCGACCCCGTTGTCAGATCTGGACATCTACCAGGAGAATGTAGCAGCCCATGAGCAGCTCAGGGATCTTTTCCGCGGAGAGCTAATGAAACAACGTAAAGAGATCGCTCAAAAGAACGCTGGCTTACGGCTAGATTATCTTGCTCACTACAAGCCCTGGAGGCTGAATGTTTGGGAATTGGATAATGCAAAAGAAAAGACGTCGGTCACGCCCGGACCAAGCACGCCTCCTGCTGCCCCCATTCCTGTGACGCCTACACCTCCTGTGGAAAGCGGACGAAGATATAAAGGCAACAGCGAGCTGGACTTCCAGAATGCTCTTCGCGCTTCCGAGATTTCGGCACAAGAGGAACTCGAGAAGCGTCGTGGCAACAAAGCTACCGCTCAGCCAGATCTATCCCGCGAAGCCGTCATCCCAGACATGCTAGAGCCGCGCGAGGTGAAGGCGCAAATCTACAAAGACACCAACAACATTATTGATCCTGAAAACGCCATGGACGTATTCGGCTTCCTGCCGCCGCCCAATGACTTCACTAAAGAAGAACATGTTATTTTCACAGATGCATTCATGGCACATCCCAAGAAATGGGGCAAAATTGCGGAATCATTGCCTGGACGCGACTTTCAACAATGCATCATACATTACTATCTCACCAAGGAAGAGATTAAGTACAAAGCCAAGCTCAACAAGCGGTGGAGTCGTCGGGGACGGGCTAGAAGATCTGCCCGTCCAAAGTCGAATGCGCTCATGGCCGATCTAGGTGTGGTCAAGCCAGACTACGAAGGGGAAGAAGAGCCCGCTCCTGTCACGGATACCGGGCGTCCCCGACGTGCAGCTGCTCCCACGTTTGGAGACTCGTCTGCGGACACAGATGCAAACGGTCGTCGCGGAAATGCGTCCAAGGACGGTGAACAGGCAGAGAAACCCAGCCGGCGAGGACCTCGCAGTGGCGGCGGCACTCGTGGTGGTCGGCGCGGCAAAGCTGCGCAGCAACAACAGCAACAGCAGCAGCAGCAGCAGCAGCAGCAACTGCAACTGCAACAACAGCAGCAACAGCTACAGCTACAACAGCAGCAACAACAACACCAACAACAGCAACAACAACAACAATTGCAACTGCAACTGCAACAACAGCAAACACCGCAGCCCACGCCATCAGAGCAATCGGCTCGAACAACGCCGGTGCCCCCTGTTGCAATCGCCGTTACTCCCGTACCAAAGACAGAAGTATTTGAGCCGTCGCTTGATGGAGCTGCTGCTGAAGTTCCGATTGTTCGCAAGGAGACGCCGCAAGAAAAAGAGCCGATCGAGGCACCACCGCGGGCGCGATCAGGACGAGGACGTCAGAAAGAGGGGGTCTATGTTTTCGAATCAACCGATCAGGAGGCCCCCGCCCCCGCCAGGCAGCCCGAAGCCAGCGGATACGGATCCTTGCAGCCCACCAGTTACTGGTCGGTGCCCGAGCAACGCGACTTTCCCTTGCTGCTGGCACATTTCGGGCGCGATTTTGAGGGTATTTCCAATTTCATGAAGACCAAAACAACAGTCATGGTAGGTTTTCTCGTTCGCTAATTTCTGTTTCTCGTTTTTTTTGTATCATCGGCTAAAGGTGTGGTATAGGTCAAGAATTACTTTCAACGCCGCATCGACTCAGGTAATAAGGATTTCGAGGAGATTGTTGCAGATGCCGAGGCGAAGAAGGCCCGCGGTGAACCCACTGGCCCCTTGCCTGTACCGAATTTCGCCTCGAAGCGACGCTACGAGGCTACGCCGTCTGCCATAATTATGCCCCGGCCTCTTGCACCCCATACAGATGCAGCAGTGCCTGAAGCGGACGAAGGTCGGCTTGGGCCCAAAACCAAGCCAATCGGGTCATCTCAGCAGGTTCCTCTTCATACTCGGCCTACGCAAGATAAGGAGCGAAACGTCTCGCGTTACCCTCCGCTTGCACAGGCTAGTGCCGTGCCGGTGCCTATCCTTGGCGGCGATGACGCTTCCAGAGCCATGCGTCCTCAGGCTACATTGCCTCCACGACTCCAGGGACCACGTCTGGGATATTTCGCGGACGACCGGCGTGAGATCCCAGGCACAGTGCTTTCACACCCTTCGGCCTCTCATGCTCAGGAAATCACTGCCTCATCTCGGCAAACGCCAGTATCGACTGCAGAAATGGCACGTCTCGAAACGCTCCATGCTCAGGGTTATCGGACTTCCAACGTCGACATTCATGGATCGCCATTGCTTCCAGTACAGGCTGCAATTCCTGCCTCGCAGCCTTCTTATATGCCGCCCCAGCATCCATCGTCGTTGATGCCCACCGGGTCTCACTCTCACTCTCGACAGCCGAGCCTTACAAAGACCCCCAGCTCACCCGCTCAGCCACTTTTGGGACACGAGCCCGAACACTCCCCCATCCGTCGTGACTCGATCTCGCAGCGGCCTTTCTTCACTCTGCCAGGCCAACCAGCAAGTATCGCCCAGCCGCCCATGCTGTCGCCGCCTAAGGAGCTTCTCCGACCGGGGTCCACTCCTCTTGAGCCGCCCGAGCCGCCTCGTGTGCCTGCCAAACGATCGAATATCATGAGTATTCTCAACGACGAGCCAGAAGAGCCGCAGCCACGGAAACGGTTTGCCAGTGACCAGGTATCTACTCCAGCAAGCAACACGGGATCTCCGTCCCGTGCAGGGTATGCTGGTATGCAGTCGCTCTCGCAGCCACCCTCGAGGCCTGAGGACCCTGCTTTGTCAGCTCAACCGAAGGGTCCAGTCTATGGCGCGCCCAGCCCGTATCTTCCGCCATCGCGCGGGTATACTGATCGCGTGTACACTGAGTACCAGCCGTACGGCTCTGTGTCTGGAGGTACTGGGCCAGGCAATAATGATTGGATGGCACGGTTCGATCCGCGTGGGCAACAGCCGCCACCACCACCGCAGCAGCAGCAGCAGCAGCAGCAGCAGCCGAGCAGCCGCCCGTCTGCATCTCTCGCTTCCCAACCTGCCTATTCCCCCTATACGTCCCACCAGTCTTTGCCTGGTCCCTCGTTACAGAACCTCACAGCACCATCGCCGGCGCCTACGCCGTCGCCGGCTACGGCTCAGCGACCTGCTTATCATGGCTCGGTGTACGTGGCTTCCCCTGCGTCACATGCCCAGGCAAGTGCTGCTGCATCGCGCGAAATTGCTGCGCAGAATGCGATGTATCGACCGGCACTTGGCTCTCCGACCCCCCGGAACGGTAGTCTCGCGTCGTATGGCTCCAGACAAGGGCCGCCTACGCCAATTCAGTCACCTGCTAATTTACTGGGGATGCCCTCCCGACCGCCGACTATGCCACAGTCGGCGTACGTGTCGGCACCAGCCACGCCCGGTGCGGGCATGTCTGCGCAACCACATGCGAACCATCAGACTTATCAGCAGCACGTCCAAACGATGGTGAATGGAGCTCATCAACAGGCGGCTCATCGATCCGCCCTGGGACTGGCTGGTGCCGTAGCGTACGGTCATAACACCCCGCCCCCGCAGGCTCAAATGTCTCGGGCAGCAGGCCTGCCTGGGCCGGGGCCGCAAGCGATGGCGATGGGTCGGTCATACACCCCCCCGGCAATCCTGCAGCCGAATCCAGCGGGAGGGTTGAGCTATGCTCCTAGTGGGGCTGTGCACGCCATGCAAGCACGGCCCCCAGGGCCTGGCGGTCTAGAACCGGGTCCGCATGGGGCTCCCGGGCACCATCGCGTGTACAGCCAGGGGTCGAACCCGGGGCCACTTCCTGGACAGATGACACCACAGCATGCCCCTCGATAGAGTCGAGACTTCATATCTAAATTGAGGTAGCGTTTGGCGGGGCAGTGCGGTGGTGGGGTGTGGATGTTTTGCCTGTATCATCTTCAAGCTTTCTTGCCTGTCTGAGTTTTATCTCTTTTGTCGGATGACGACTAAATGTATAGTAGATGACTACATGGATGGCCAATCTTATCTGATAACTTACTGAGTGTAGAGTGTAGGAGTAGAATAATCAATTTTGACCGGTCCACGCAAGGCAGTACGTGGACGATGATCCAGTGGAGACCTTCTGCCGCGCCGATGAAACATGACATCCCGTGTGTCTGTGGGGAGATGATCGGCTAAGATGGATGCTTATCAGCGCGTATATTTTTATTTACAGTGCTGTCAACCCATGCAACGCTTTTATCTCAAACCCGTCGTGTGTATTCCGAGATGTCTGTCCCAAGTGCAAGTCCAGCATGCAACCCTCCTCCACCTCCTCAACCCATCGAACCCCCGATCCTCCTCCAAACCGAGCGCCACAAGACCTACTACGAAAGCACCCGACTCGCGCGGCGCCGCTATGAGCACGCCACCCTCCGCGAGGGTCTGCAGCGGGGATTATCGCTCTGGAGCATTCTGGCCATATTGTCCAGTGGAGGACACGAGGATGTCCCCTATCGCGGGAGGAGAGTGGATCCTTCGAGGCTGATTAGCTATAGCCATGGCCAGCGACTTGAGGACTGCAATAGCAGCATGGGCTGCGAATCTACAGCCATGCACTACGCCCACGCCAACACCCACACCCACAATGAACCTCCGCTCGAAAGACGCGAGCAGCGTCCAAACATGTTTTCCTCATATCCGCAGAGCCAAGTTCCGATTCACCATCGAAACACAAGTGAATACTACAACAGCAGCAGTAGCAGCAGCAACAGCAACACAACCCCCTCACCCCCACGCCTACCCCAACATCACCACCACCAATCCCAAAAAATCAACCCCCTTCTCACCCTCACCATCAATCCTCCCCTCATCACCCCGGATAGCTCCTACTTTGCCCGTGTCTCGGACTACCGGGTGCGCAGCCGGAAGCGGCCGTGGGAGGGGGACCGGAGCTGGGACCGGAGCTTTTTGTGTCGGGCTTATAAGCGGCGGCGGGGTGGTGGTGGGGCTGGGGCTGGGGCTGGGGCTGGGGCTGGGGCGTTAGGTATTGGGTCCGATGGGAGGAGGGTGCGAGGGGGTGGTAGTGGTGGGGCGGTGGTTTTGGAGAGGGGGATGGTTTGGGAGATGGGGGGTTGTGGTTCTGATATCAAGGGGAAGGAGGGGGAGGGAGGAAGAGATTATGGGGAGGGCGATGGGGATGGGGATGAGGATGGGGGGAGGTGGCGGTATTGGGTTCCTGTTTAGTTGGTATACTGGTGGGGGAGTAGAGCAACGAATGATGCTTTTATTACTGTTTCATCTATTTCATGGCTAATGCTGAGTAGGCGCACGCTATTCACGTTGGTCGATATTATATGTGTGGTTAGCTCGATGGCCTGCATCGAGGGCTCATGGCTAGCTTGGCTAATGTGTCAAGGCTAAGGGCGCTTCCTGAATACCAGCGGACATTCGTCCTGTTTCACGTCAGTTCAGCCCTACAAAGCATTAAGAAAACTCACCATTGGAAACAACGTGGCAAACACCCGAATCTCCTCCGACCTGGCCGTCGCATGATGCGTCCAGTCCAGCTCCAGCGCCGCCTTGCCGATCATCCCCGCCATCGACAGCGGCACGTACTTCCGCGCCAAACAGTCGTGCGCCCCCGCCCCGAACACCAGCCAGTTCTTCGTCTTCGACTCGGCATCCCCCGTGATCCAGCGGTCCGGATCGAACACCTCGGGGTTCGGATACGCCTCGGGGTCATGCAGCGCTGGCCAGCACGAGGGGATCACCATCGCCCCCTTGGGCGCGGTGTACTCGGGCGTGATGGGGAAGTCGCGGGTCGCGAGGTAGGGCACGAAGATGACGGGCGGGCGGTGGCGGAGCAGCTCCTTGATGACGGCGCTGGTGTAGGTCAGCGACTCCAGCATGGGCAGGTCGAAGGCGCGGGAGCGGTCGCCGCCGCGGGCGGCCAGGTTCTCCGCGCGCACGCGGGCCAGCACGTCCGGCCGCTGGGCCAGGATCTGGAAGATCCAGGTCGTCGCGCTGCTGGAGGCGTCCTGCGAGGCGAACAGGAAGGTGAATAGCGTCTCGCTGATCTCCTGGTTTGTGAACTCGCGGATCAGGTTCTTGGGCTTCTCCTCGTCCGGCACGGTCTCGCCCGCTGCCAGCCGCGCCCGGTACCGGCTCGACTCCATCATGTGCCGCACCCAGTGGTCCACGATGCAGGTGGGCGCCGCCCCCCGCGCCATGTTCGCCTTGCACGCCGCCGCGCACCGCGCGAACTCCGCGTGCACCGCGTCCGCCGTCCGCTTGCCCCACCACGGCTTCGTGAACGGCACGTACATCGACAGCGGGATGTTGACCAGCTCCAGCGCCGCTGTCGCCAGGTAGAAGTCGTCCGCGATCTTCTGGATCGCGTCCGGCGAGATGTAGTCCCCGAAGAAAGTGCGGCATGAGAGTGCGCAGTTGATCTCGCGGAAGAAGGTCATGAAGGGGATCGGCTGGTGGTCGTTGGCCGCGCTGGCCGCCACGAATCGGTCGAAGTAGTCCGCCAGCACTTTCTCCTGGGCCGGGAGGTAGGTCTCCATGGCTTTGTTGGTGAACAGCGGCGCCAGGCCCCGGCGGTACTCGGCGTGCGCTTTGCCCTGCAGGAAAACCCAGGCTTTGTGGCCGAGGATATCTTTGGCGATGGGGACGAGGCACGGTTCTGCGTAGGTGGGGGATTTGAAGACTTTGTGCGCGAGGTCGCGGTCGGATGCGAGGACGACGAATCTGTGGGGGGGATTAGGAGGGGATGGTGATTTATCGGTGTGGGTGTGGTGGAACGTACTTGTGGAAGACGGAGACGCAGCTTAGAGGTCCGCTTGCCCATTGAGCGAGGTATTCATCGAACTTGGGGTGGATGGCTTGGAGGAATGGACCCATCAGGGGGATCTTGAATGCCGGGCCGGCGATAGAGCCCTTTCGCTTGATGTACATGACTATTTGTGACTGGAGTCAGTGACTGGCTGGTAGTTGAGGGGGGTGTTGTAACCTTGGTCGTAGACTATTACTCCCAGTAGGAACGTCACGATATACTGCCAGGTGGACCAGCCCGATAAGAAGGAGGATGCTGGGCTGGACCATGTTGGCGATTGCGCGAGGTGCGCGGTGGTGATGTTGAAGATCTCAGCCATGGTGGTAATCCTGGACGATGAAAGTCATGAAGGAAAAATCGAGATGAGTGGTCATTGTACTGATTTATACCAATGCACGAGGAGAAAAGGAGACTGCATAGATCGATCCATCATGCGATAAAATGCTCGTTTTGTATACATGACCCGATTGGGACTAGTCCCCGAAAACACATTCGGGCTCTAGTCTTTTCCGGGTTAGACTTGAATGGCTTCAATGGCTCCATTGATTCACTCTTCACTCTTCACTTTACAGTCCACAGTTTCATCTCTCGCTGCTGTCCATCATTTCTAATCCTTACAAACCACTTGCATGACATTGGCGCCACTACTCGGATACACCATGGCCTATGAGGCAGAGATCCTCAGTTGACCAAGCCGGGTGTTCTTTTCCTCCAAGTCTTGCTGAAGCGGGGGCAAGCGTCCTAAGTAAGCAGAGGCCTCGGCATCCGCTTGGCGACCCTTTCCCTTACACAACAGTCTCTTCTCTCCGGTGGCACAATCTCGAGGGAAACACATCTAATCTCAACTGCATGACACCACGATGTCGCGAACACTTCGTCGCTCCTGTACAGCCTGCTACAAGTACAAACATAGCTGCGATCTCCGCACTCCGCGTTGCTCGCGCTGCATCAAGCGCAACGTTCCGTGCGTCTACGCCAATCAACCCTTGACAGTACCGGAGGATAGCGGATCGACGATAGCGCCCAATTACTCGACTGCTTTGAACAGCTACAGGTTCCCCGGTCTCGACCCTTTCGACTCCTACCCCCAAACTCGACTGCCCCGGGAACGCGTTCAACGTCTAATTCATAGTTGTACGTATTGCTTTCACCTAGCTTGTACCAGGCAGCTTCACTCACCAGCCAGTCCTGCACAAAATCGCCTTTCAGTACTATCCGCTGGACCTGAACGCGACGACAAATCCGTTTCTTATCTCGTGGTGGCCGCTGGCTCTGGGCGATCCGGCTTTGTTCCATGTCTCCCTGCAGACAGCGTGTCTGGACGAAGAGCTGCTCGCTCAGAAGGGCTTCCAGGCCTCCGAGATCCTCATGACCGACTCGGTGTCGCTACTACGCCGGAAGATTGAAGACCAGTCCCTAGCCGTCCAGGATGGGACGATGAACTCGGTTATCACCCTGGCGGCTATTGAAGTAAGTTCCGAGACTGCACACTTTGACGCACTGCTAACCACCGCGGCTCCAGTTCGGCAAGGGGAATATCGACATTGCTGGGATGCATGTCAACGGGGTCAAGAAATTGGTTACGCTGCGAGGCGGTATTAATGCAGTAAGACAGACCAGCCCTTTGACTGCTCGCATGATTAGTTGGTAAGTCGACTTAGCCCCTAACAAAAGCTTACTGACGTATGCCGCCAGGGTATCGATGCTTGTCATGGGCCACCCCCAATTTGACACGCAGGACGATGTCGGCATCGGAGATGGCGTTCCCTCAACTCCCGAATATCAATACGCTTCTTCGACGGACGCTCTTGAGGACGGAGTAGTCGATTTTGTCAGCATCATAAATGACAATGTTGAGTACCCAGTCCGGAACGTATTCAACCGTCTCCGTAATGTCTTTCAACGTGCGCGTCATATACCCTTCCCACCGACCCATCTACACGACCTGACATGTTTTGTCATCCACCGACTGCTTCTTTCGGCCCCTTCCGACTCTACAGAACTGAATTCTCAAACACCGCCATCAATACCATCCTCTATAACCGAATGCGTCCGCTACGCCACCATCATCTACATGTTCATCATCCATGGTCCAACATACTACTCACACGCGGTCATTTTGAACACGATGGTCGTGCGATTTGTGCAGCATCTCAAGCTCCTCGATCTGCCGCCCCACGTCCATTCCTCTCTGGATGTCTGGTTCGTAGCAATTGGGATGGTCGCTTCCACCGGGACTGACCCCGCCCACTACCAATGGTTCTTGAAAAGAGCCCGGATGGTAGCAGGCGCCTTGAATTTAAAGAGTCGGAGCGACGCAACCGACAAAGTCAAGAGTGTCCTGTGGTTTGACACCCTGCAGGGAGATACAATCTTTCGCCCGCACTTGGATGCGATCTTCAGCGATGCAACAGATATCCCAGTGCATCGACTCGATCTTGCAGTCTGTGTTTCGTCGAGTAGTGCTCGTGAAGGACTATCGCGAATAGCACAGTCGTCTGATATATACACATGACATGATGGCAGCCGTTACCTGGATTCAGGCTGAACTGAAGTGCAGACAGTGGTATATGGTTTGGCGAAAATATCCATCCGAGGCGACGGTACCGCCAAGCAGGAGGTCCAGAAATTTTGGTTTCAAGACTACGGTTCGCCGCTCCGAGGGACTATCTCTCTAAGGACATTCGCCACATCAAGCGCTACTTCTTGGAAATTCTGACATGCGATAGCTGTTTTTATGCGCGTTGGGATAAGCAGTATCTGCCAAGCTCTCGCTCCGCAATCTCTGACACTGAAACCGGGTGTGATTGGCAGCTGGGCGGGTCGAGCCGGGTTGATGCCGAGAAAAAGAGGAGCAACATATCAATCGATAGACTGATGAGACCCGTGAAAGCCATATATCCAGAGATATGGTTTATTCGCTTGAATTTTGGGTGAGCACCTATTCCTGGATAGAGCTGGATCAGAGGGATCGAGGCTATCACCGGCTTCTTCCGCCCTTTGAGGCAGTAAAGTCGGCAACTGCCGACGCAATCACCAGGGGAATCAGAGAATTCGGCACAGACCTTCTCTAGTCGTCAGCAGCGCTCTTTCTGACTCGCGTTGACTAATTACTACCTCTGTTATGACGTGATGATTGGCTCATCGGAATATCCGAATCGGACCTCCGACACTAGAGGGTCGCCTCGGTCTCTCGCGGTGCCGAGACCCGGTGGCAATCCCAATAAAGATCGAAGGCTTGCGTTTTCTAGAACGCGAGGGGAAGTCGTGAGTTTACTGCATACACAAATTCTTCAGGCAGCATGACGGTAGTGCCTGGAACGACGGTCTCGTCGTCGACACCACCATCTAATGATGTTGAGAAGGCTGCTAAACCGGTATCCTCGCCCGATCCTAATCTGGTGCGATGGGAGGAAAATGACCCTGAAAATCCACAAAACTTCTCGACGGCGTATAAATGCTGGATCACCTTCCAATTGGGGATGTTGGCCCTAAGCGCCAGTTTGGGATCAAGTATCATCTCCCCTGCGCAAACGGACCTCATTGAATACCTTGGGATCAGTAAAGAGGTCAGCATCCTGGCCACGTCGCTTTACATGTAGGATTCATTCCTAGCCTTTGAAAACAGTCCGAATTAACGGAGGATAGTCTCGGATTCGCATTCGGTCCGCTGTGCTGGGCGCCGATTTCAGAGATCTGGGGCCGTCGCTGGTCGATGCTCCCCGCGGTATTTTGCATGGGTCTATTTAGCATCGGCACTGCGACCAGCAAGACCACTGCTTCAGTGCTCATCACGCGGTATTTTGCCGGCCTGTTCGGGTCAGCCCCCGTCAGCAATGTCTCCGCCGCCCTCGGAGATATCTTTCACATGAAAGCGCGGGGGATCGCCTCGACCTCGTACGCCATCTGCGTCGTTGGCGGGCCCACGATGGGACCCATCATCGGGGCGGCATTGGTGTCGAACCATTCTCTCGGTTGGCGCTGGACCGAATACATCGAAGCGATTATTGTGTTCTTCGTATTCGCCGTCACGTTCTTCTGTTTGCCCGAGATGTATGGTCCCGTGCTCCTGCACAAGAAGGCCGTCCGCCTACGCAAAGAAACCGGCAATGCGGACCTCTACCACCCCCACGAACATCTGGAAATCGACGCCCACAGTATCGTGACGAAGCACTTATCCCGACCCTTGGTCATGCTCGTCACCGAGCCGATGGTCACCGTGATTGCGCTGTACGCCTCCTTCACCTACGCCATTCTCTACCTCACCCTTGAAGTCTTCCCCATCGTGTTCGACGAACTCCGCCAGTGGAAGCCCGTGGTCGCGACCCTCCCGTTCATCGCCCTGTTCGTCGGCGTCCTCCTGTCGTCCGCCTTCATCATCCTCGTCGGCCAACCCTACTACATCCGCAAGTTCGACGAAGGCGGCGGCAAGCCCGTGCCCGAGGGCCGCCTCATGCCCATGGCCGTCGGCGGGTTCTTGTTCGCGGCGGGCCTGTTCTGGTTTGGCTGGACTGCCGCGCCGAAGTATCACTGGGCACTGCCCTGCGTGGCGGCGGGCATGTTTGGCTGCGGGTTCTGCATCATCTTCGGCCAGTGCATCAACTTCCTGGTCGACACGTACGGACCCTATGCCGCGTCCGCTACGGCGTCCAACACGTTCCTGCGGAGTGTGCTGGCGGCAGCATTCCCGCTGTTCTCGCAGCCCATGTTCCACAACCTGGGCGTGGGCCCGGCCATGTCGATCCTGGGGGGTGTGGCGGCGGCGGCGATCCCGGTGCCGTTCCTGTTTATGGTGTACGGGAAGCGGTTGCGGGCCATGTCGAGGTTTGCGCCATTCAAGGGGTGATTCGGTGGTTGTGGGTGGTCTTGTCAAGGGGACTGACGAGGGTTCTGCATAAAAGGTGTTTTCGTGTTGTTTGATGATGCTTAGATTACGGCATTTACATATATATAATAGACAGGCATATACGTATATATACAGGCTTTTTGGACAGAAATTATCATACACGTTCGAATTCCGACTAGACTGAAGAGACCTCTACGATGGATATTTGACGGTCAATGAATCATAGTCAGGAAGAAAGAGACTCGGCGAGATTTTAGCCATGTTTGACGAGTGCAAGCTGCGGATGCGAAAAGAAATAAACTGAATCCCCCTCCGCCCCAATCAAAGCATTGCATTTCCGCAGACGAAACACTTAGACCGAACAGATCGAGACCCGGAGAATGCGACCCTAGTTGTAGTACGGAAGGGCAATTGAATGGAGTTTCCTGTCTATGAAAGAAGTTAGGGCAAGCGCAGCAGGTTGTTCAAGCGACCAGTGTGAGAAACATAACTAACAAGAAGTAGTTAATCTTGGCGTATTCTGATTATGTCCCGATTGGTCTGTAATGTCGTCTAGCGGCTGCTCTTTCACACAACATCCGATATGGTGTAGTGGCTAACATCGCCGTCTCTCACACGGCAGCCGGGGGTTCGATTCCCCCTATCGGAGCTCATCTTTTTGTGTTTTTGCTGTCGCTACTCTCATGCTTATCTTTTTCTTGAATTCGATATAGGTGATGGGCAGTGTATATATCATGTTATGATGATGCGATTTTATACTTCCGGTCCGGTCGGGCAGCCACGCGAGACTAGAACCTACCGTAGTGATTCGGTTGTTGTGTCACACACCCGGCATCAGCGGGAGTTTATCCGGGTGAACTATCTGCAGCAACAACAATCGGGTCTCCGTTCTGAATCTCGGAGCCTTGAGTCACGCGAGCAGCGAGGAAAAGTCTACTGGCCGGGCGGCAAAGATGCATAGTATAGACATAGGTTAAGCTGCATCTATCCGCCACCTTACTCAATGCGAATCACACAGCCACCTGCCCACGTCGAGCTCATACCTAGGCTTCTGAAGAAGGTTGTATTCCGTAAGACCGGCAAATGACCCAACTGACGTCGTAGCGGTGAATAAGGCAATTTCCAGTGTTATGCCTGGGTATTTGTCCAATATACGAGTCGCAAGCCATAGGCCTGACTGAGTTTGGAAGCTCGAGTGGCTGAAATTGACTTTTGAGTCAGAAGCAAATGCATGATGTATATAAACATCAAACCATACTCCAAGTACTGATGAGCCAGTGCAACATATTCCTACCAAGTAGGCGGTCTGGTCAAGAAAGACCAAGGAATCTGGCATCGCCTACCACCAGATATAGAGAGAACAACAATGTAAAGAGCGATCTCACCGGAGCAACGGAGAGTACCGGGCAAAGGGAGAAAAGGAAAGATATATGAGGGCCCAGTGAAACACGACAAACAGATCAGCTTGACTCACCGTTAACCTCCCACTCATTCCCGCTCGGGCAGGTGTGAGTAAGCGATGGTACTGTCCACGTAATCTTCGAGCTTTTCCTTCTCTGGGGGCCAGACCACCTTTCCAGATCCCTTTCCACCTCGGGGTGTTCCGTCCCGCTTCTCCGGGGTATGGGTTGCCTCCTTGAGTATGAAGTCTTCCTTCCCGTTGGTGTATCCATACGACGCTACGTGGAAACTTCGCTCCACCTGATCGTTGTTTTTGAAGGCGAAAGTACCATGCCATCCTCTCGGATTTTCGACACGCTTGCCCTCCATGCTGGTTGTTTTGTGTAGCTCAGACCTCGAATGCTGTGGTCAGCTATCTGCAGGCTGTACTGTACAATTCAATTGGGCACGAAATCACAAATCTGGAGCTCCGCAGTATCGCCATCTTGGCAGTTGCGACGAGTACTTAGCAAGACTTACCTGCTGAGAATTGCTTTGGGAGTCAGCTGCAGATCCCGTGCCGTCGCATAATCTAGAGCTACCAATGCCTTCTTCTGCTTTGGGGTAATTGTGCTGCCTTGGTAGAAGAAGTATCGGACCATATTTATGCCTCCGTTGGCAGCGGCCATGGTGTTTGCAATGAGGAGCAACAAACGGATAACAATGGATGCCTATATGGGAAAGGAGGGAGATATAAGCACATGTGTTTGTAGAACAAAACGAGGTCAGAGTGCCCTGCCTATAAAGCAAGCAGCCTCCGAACCCACGGTTGCCTGCACCACTATGTAGACAGTTTGGCGCCGGTGGAAGAAAGTAATGAGCGGGTGACAGGGACCCGTCATCCTTCTTGCATGTTGTCTGGTACTCGGTCCAATAGACCTGAAAGTCTGGAGGGGGCAGCAGATTCTAGTCGCATATTTTGGCAAGGCAGCGATAAGAAGTGGCGGCGGCTGCTTAGATGCTGAAGACCGAAGGTCTTCATCCATGACTATATTGTTGGTAGTAGCGTGCACTGACGTTCTAGATTATTAAAGCTACCTATGGAATAGCTCATACAACAGTAGATCCAGCGACCAACTGGCTGATCGGTAGAAATTAGCGCCAGTAGAGTATGGTTCTGCGAGGGCTTCGACCTTTCCAGTTGGCATGTGCTGAGAACGGTTGGGCATAACCGCCTATTGAGCAGGCCAATGGGGCATTGTACCGATTTTAAAAAGAGGCGATATGTGTACGTAGTCTGTAGGATGAAATGAGATCTTCCATAAGTATGGTATCGCCTGAGATAGGGGGTTTTCAACATAGCCGCAATTCGTCAAAAGCTAGAATAGCGTCGGCTGCGCGCAATCGCTGCATCTGGAGATTCCCTAGTTCTTTTCAACTTGAAATGATCCTGCTCCTTACAGTTTGCAATATGGAAAGACGGAAGGATGCGGGAAAAGGAAAACAAGATAAGAGAAATGCAATGGTTCGGAAAGGGAAGGAAGAATAAGCGCGAACGTACAGTACCAAAGAGCAATGCCTGAGGGCGGGTGCCGCCGAGGATGTTGATGTGGATGAGTTATTGATAGAAGCCAAGCAGAGCAACCGCCCTTCTTTACGTTCCGCACCTACTCACTCACTCAAAGCTTCTCGAGACCACAAACCATCATATGTCCCAGGAGTAGTCTTACCATGGCGTCATGCTATGTGATGCCTATACTGCGTATCTTCAATTCTTCATCAGTCCCACTACCCCGACTGTGCAGGCCATTCTCTCGCCGTGTATCTAGGTCCTCAACTTGGAAATCTAGGAGGTCGTTCAACCCGTCCAATCTCGCTTCGTCTTATTATTATTCATCAACCGCAATGTCACGCGCCGATGCGAATGCGGCAAACAGTGAATACCAATACCAATACAATTGGGTTGATGGCGCGGAGACTCTTGAGAGGTATAGACCTGGAGGCTACCACCCTATCATGATCGGCGGCCTACTTCACGATCGTTATTACATCGTCGACAAGCTAGGCTTCGGAGGGTACTCGACAGTCTGGCTGGCGCAGGACACTTGACTGAAGCAGTATGTTGCTCTCAAGGTCGGTATAGCAGATTCGATATTGCAGGAGCCGATCGTTCTCAGAGCGCTTACCACGCCGTTATTATCATTATCATCATCATCATCATATCCTATACCTTTGGGCCGAAATTCTATCCCCCAAACCCTGGATGAATTTGAGCTGAACGGCCCAAACGGAAAGCACCTATGCTACACCATGCCACCAGCACGCCGCAATCTCCGAGACGTGTCATTCAGTTGTCTCTTTCCGCTGGACGTGGCGCGGGCTCTCTCAGGCGGCCGGACAACTGCTATCACATACATGCATTCTCGAGGCTACGCCCATGGAGGTTGGTTCTGCCCCCAAGAAATGAAAGACCTATTGCGCGGTGGGCTAATGACCATTTGATGTTCAGATATACATCTACGCAATATCCTCACCAAACTCCCCTCCAGCTTCGACCACCTCACCGTTGAGAAGCTCTATGAAGAATATAGCGAGCCAGAGACCGTCCCCATCACCCTTCGCGATGGTGATGGAAGGGACTTTCCACCGAACGTCCCAGCGGAAGCCGTCTTACCGCTCGACCTTGGAATCGATGCGGAGGAATTTTCCCTCGCGGACTCGCATCTGATTCTGAGTGACTTCGGCGAGGCCTTCGCTCCGGACTCGCATGTCCGGCTCGGGAAAGATTGTCACACCCCCCTGCCAATGCGGCCCCCGGAGGCGAGGTTTGAGCCGTCCGTCGCGTTGTCTTACTCCGCCGACATCTGGAGCCTAGGTTTCGCCATCTGGGAGACTTTAGGCATGAAGGCCCTCTTTAGTGTGGAGTTTGGCACGGCGGATGAGCTAGTCTCCCAATACATTGACGTGCTCGGGCCGATGCCCCAGGCACGGTGGGAAAGCTGGGAAGAGAGGGGCCGGTTTTTCGAGGACGACAATCAGAGTTGTCCGAAGAAGGATCGGTACGTCTGGCCTCCGATTGATCAGGCATTTGAGGATGGGATTCAGCATTATCGCAAGAAGCGGAAAATGGGCGACTTTGGGGCGGAGGAGACAGCGGCGATCTTGGATGTCATGCGGCGGATGCTGGCGTTCCGACCCGAGGAACGGCCATCGGCTGCGGAGGTGCTGCAATCGGAGTGGATGGTCAAGTGGGTGTTGCCTGATTACGAGCGGAGTTTGCGGTCGCAGTGAAACATGATTGCTGGGGAACGATTGTTGATATATATACTAATGCTGACGGCCTGGAGCATCGGCCGGCCCACTCGTACGCGGGGTTCTTCCTTTCCGTTAGCTCATGCGATGAATCTTTTGAAACCGAGCTTGTACAGGAAGAGAATTGCTGAAATGTACTCGCTTCTTTTTATTTGATCCTGTACTATTCCTTCTACAGTTTGAAGTGGTTTCTGCTAACGCTGAGCCTGATCACGGTCGTGTTTGCTTTTGTAGACAAATATCTCAGAACAATAAACCATTGAAACACAGGCCTTTATTGATACCGCTTTCGCTAGCCCTGCCCGCTGGTGGTCAACTGTAGGAATAGCTAGGTAGGTAGTTATGTTAATGTCGAACGGTCCACAATTATCTGCCCATACGTTTCAAGCGCGACATCACCAAGCGAGTTTCCTACGCAAGGGCAGGTAAGTTCATCTAGAAACACCCTAACCAATCATGGGATCTTTCCAGATCTGCCTCCTTGAGCCTCTTATCATACATAACCCCGATAGGAACACACTGCGTGAGTCTCCGAGGAGTTTCAGCCAGCCTGCTCGTTGGCTCCTGTAGTGATATATCTCATATAGCACAGTACAGCCCAGCCCAGTACACTCTTCCTATTTCTGTACGTACTGCACGAGGCAATGCCATCAATATCCTTATACCCCCCCCCTTCCTCTCTCCCTTTCCCCTTTCTTTCCTTCTTTCTTTTTTTCCTAGAACTATATACAGTAGGTCGAAGATTAGCTATTCTTCTTGAGTCGAGATACTTATCCCAACCAAGAAAAAAAGGAAAATAGCCAATTCTGTTGATCTGCTAACGTCGTTGGGATTACAAGATATGTAAAGGGGCTCGGTAACAAACACGCGTGTTCGGCAGGCGCGTGGGAGACGAACCAGTGCTCCTCAGAAGAGCTGACATGACTGGTTAGATTGACTCACTCAGCGTTCGTCACGCTTGGCCAAACACCCCCTCCTCCCAAGCGTTGCGAAGCTAGCACTTCGCAAGTAGGTTGTATTCAGATATTCTATCGATAGAACCAGTGGAAAGATGCGTTGAAAATCCCTACTCTGGAATGAATATGTACTTGTACTGGCTTTACTAGGGGCATCTGGCCTGAAACTTCCTGCGCTGTATGCCGCAAGGCTGTTGTGTAATCTGGATATTTACCAATGGAAGACTTAGGCGAGTTTTCGGTAAGTCCGAAAAAGGAGTGCTTTGACACATCGCTTCAAGAAAGGCAAGTATAGTGATGTCCCAAATGCATCCAAACTAATATACCTAAACAGCCCGAATTTTCTTCCCACAACCCATCTACCCCAAACAGAATGACAAAATCCATAAAAAAACATTATTATAACACAGGTAAGTTCCTCCGTGACCCAAAAGGCCAGGAGGGAAGGGGGGGTATATTCTTTGATCTCGCCGATATGCGTCTCAGCTGAGTTCGATCACGCTGCACGCACCAGACCCAAGCACAGTCTACTTCGCCTCCGCCACGTCAACCTTCTCCACGCTGTGCGCCGTGCTCAACGAGCTCGTGCGGTAGAAGTAATCGTGCACGGAGCCGCCCAGCAACTCGTCCTCGATGAAGGCGTCCGCGTCGTCCTCGCGCTTGGTCTCCTCGCTCAGGCGCGCCATCTTCGTCTCCCACTCGGCGCGGTACTCGCGGATGCGCTGCTGGTAGTCCAGCTCCGGGTTGTAGTGCTTGCTGGCGCCCCGGAAGCGCTCCCACACGGACAGGTGCTTCGGGTGCACGGCCACGCCGTGGTACTCGTGCTCGCGGCCCTCCCGGATGTAGATCCAGCGGCGTTCCTGCTCCTTGAGGTCGAGGCCGGTGGTGTCGGGCAGGAACAGGTAGGTCAGAGCCATACCGAGCAACCCCCACCATGGGACGAAGTAGAACTTGGTCTGCGTGTCGATGTAGTTGAAGAGGATAGCCGCCAGCAGCGCGCCGAGCTTGCCCGTCGCGGCGGAGATGCCGTGCGCGGTCGCCCGGATCGGGGTGGGGAATACCTCACCAGCCACGAGGAAGGTCACGCAGTTGGGGCCGAACTGGTTGAAGAAACTGGACAGGAAGTACATCGTCTGGAACGAGTGGATGTGGGCGGCCTCCTTGTAGTAGTCGTAGTGGAACGCAGGCACCACGAACATGATGAAACAGAGCAGAAAGCCCCAGATCTGCATCCATTTACGGCCATAGAGCTTGTTGTCGACGAAGGCGATGGCGAAGTAATAGCCAGCCAGGGTGACGATGACATCGATGAAACTCCACTGCCACGTGGTGAAGATCGACTTCGACTTCGGGCTGATGACGGAGATAAAGTCGCTGGAGAACAGCTTGGCGCCGTAGAAGAAGACGTCATTGGCGAACCAGCCGCCAGCCGTGGCAAAGACACGCGGAGTGAAATGTTTGAAGGTCAAGCGAAGCGACTCGCTGTCGTAGCCGGTGACAGACACCTTGGCCGCCTTCTTGGTGGCGGCGAGCTGCTTGCTGGCGGCCTTCATGTGGTAGGCGCGGTAATAGAGAAGCCAGAGAGTGCCAACCAGCGGAATCACGAAGGAGATGCGGTAGGTCCACTGGGTGGCGGTCTGGTTGATGGGCTCCTGGCCGCTGCCGGCATTGAAGATCAGAAGCAGGATCATGAGGAAGGCCTGGTTGAGAACCTGACCCCAGCCTTGCATTGAGAAGCATGAGATCACTTTGGCACCGCGGTGAAGGCGATCCTCCCGCGTAGACAGCTTGCCAGAGCCGACGGCGTTTTCCATACTACTTGTAACAGTCATCGGGTACTCGCCACCTATTAGACAGCCAGTCAGTCATCGTTTCACTGAGACAAAAAGGCAACGAGGCAGAGACTCACCAACACCAATGCCGTAGATGAACAAAGACCACGCATAGCAAATGACCCAGCCGTTCTGTGTGGTACCCCAAGCGCAAACCAGCATGACCAAGCCCAGAACCATGATCCAAGCATCTTGCAGCAGGCCCCAACGACGGCCGATCCAGTCGCCAATGATACCAACCAGCACCTGTCCGATGATGATCCCGACAATCTCGAGGTAGGATATCGCGGAGACCCAGTTCTTGGAGCAGATCTCGTATTTGCCCCAACACGATTCGAAGGACTTGCCAAACAGGGTAGAAATGTTTCCGATCGAGAGCAAAACATAGCTATGACACGGTCAGATCAGGAGTCTCCTTGTAGCGTGCCAACCAGGAGGGACTTACCCTTCCAGACCAATACCAGCACCTGGAATGACGGTGTCACGAAAGTAGTTCATCAACGGCGACAAAGGATCGGCCTTGAACTGCTGCCAGAGAGCCGCCCACTGCCGGCGACTCTCCTTGGAGTCCACGGAGCGAACGAATTTGATCCGCTGTCCGAGAGGAAGATCGGCCCAGTAGACACCCGCCGGGGTGTAACTATCATCCGGGCGAAGGAGTTTGTCGAAAGCCTCCTTCTCGCTGTGGCTCATCTCCGGGAACTCGTGCTTGGCGGCCATGTCAGGCTCGCGAGAAGTGTCAAAGTCTGCCATATCAAGTATGAATTGACAAAAATTCCTCGAGGCTGTAGAGAGACAGATGATCCTACCCGAAAAAAAGGGGGGAAGGAAGGAGCACGATGGGCTTAAATATGCATGAACGGCGAAAGGGTTGCATTAGCATGCTATATGCATCGAGAACCATCAATATCAGACTCGTTCAGCACGTTCTAGCGGTGGAGATTGTGGTTGGCTAGACGCAGCTGGTTCTGTCCACTAGCGGTGCTTTAGCTGGCCAGACAGTGGCATCTCACCCCGGTCAAGCGAGACGAACTAGTGGACCTTCGGCCTCGGAGGAAAGCAACGTGACAGTTGGACCGGACCAGTGTGTCAGGTAATTTCGGTTCCCTAGGCTCGACAACCAACGAGTGTTATTTCCGATTGCATGAGCGAGAGTTGGGGAGGCAGATTAGCTGACAGTGCACTCAGTGGCCTCCAGCCTTGGACAGCCCATGCCGCCTCGCGACGGCAGCTGTGCGCTAACGTCTATACTGCAGACATTGTCGTCTCCATTGCAAATGCATTCACCATCATGGCATCGCAACTAACCGCTTCAAATCGGAAACTAGAATGCAGGACCGGGTCGAACTGAGTCATGGCCCCGAGCAAAGTAGGTTGAGCGAGAAACAAAGACAACAAAGACAAGAGAAGAAGGGAAGCAGACAAGCCTCCTTGGCCAAACTTGGCCCAACTTGGCTCCAGCGACACCCGGCGTGGCAGCGGGCGTGGCACCACGTGCGAGGAGCGAGCTCTGACTTGCATCCACGGTCCTGCAGCCCACTTGGTGCTGCGCTTGGCAGAATCGTGTCTCGTGTCTCGTGTCTCGTGTGTTGATGGGAGGGAGAATCAAAGAGGAGCAAGAGCGCACGTGCCCGGGCTGGGTGTTTTCTCTCGCCCGTCGGCCGCCGTCCCGTGCGCCCTCCTATCGCCGCCCTAGCCTGTATTAAGTCTAGGCCCCGAATCCACTTGTTCTCCGAGTGCCATCAACTATAGTATTCTCTAGTTATGGGAAAGTCTAGTCGCAGGGATTTTTTTTCCCCCTCTGAGGTTGTGGCTATTCCAAGATTCTGTGACTTTCTTCTGATTCAGATTTACCAACTGGTCCTACCTTGTGTCTGCAGTTTCGACATCTCATCTCATTGTCTTGCTCGTCTGCAATACATACCCGTCCTTCGCAGGAAGAGCATCATGGTATTCAAAGAGTCTTGCGATGAGGGCTGAGAAGACTAGAATGTTTCCCAACAGTTGAGCGATGACGGTATGCTGCTGAGAAGACAGGCGATCTTCATTTTCATTCACTGACCCATACGTTGCAGTGTACAGTACTACACGTCCTCTAGCTGTCGCTTGATTCTCCCCGCTGAACGAATCATAATACTGGTGGATCTGTCTGTTATCATCCGATCTCTAGTCAGGATAAATTGACAAAGAGGTAAGATCTTTTCTTTCTCAGTGACTGGAAAATGACGGATGCAAAATCTCTCAATGCTCTATCGACTCCTCGCTCAAACGACAGCCAGATACCATTATATACAAAATGCGAACGTGGGATGGGATGGCAGTGTAGGAAGTACTGCACCCCTGACAGCCTCTTTCATACTGCCGGGCTATGCAACGGAGAAGAGGCCAGCCGCAGATACCGATGTGGCCGCCACTTGAACCTGCGCGTCCACCAAAAGATCAGAATCGTCCCGAAGCACGCGAGCAGAACCATGCCGATGACCACATCGTTGATGGCCCGCAACAGATCGTCTGCCTCGGAGACGTGCTCGGGCGCCTCCCCGTGGGCCATTTCTTCGTCCACCACGATGGCCTCAACTAGTGTCGCCGGGTCCACCACAATCTCCTCGACAGCAGGCTCGACAGCCACCAGCGAAGCGGGATCATCCGGGATGAGGAGCAGCTGCTCTCCATCCTCGGATGCGTACTTCAGGGCCCCCTCGATATTGGCGCGGACGATCCGCGACCAGCCGAGGGAGTTCCCGTGGCGGTCGAGCGCCTCGGCGGAAACAAAGTCCCAGTAGCCCGGGGTCACGAAGACCGACTCAAAGTCGTGCTTGGTCACGTTGCCGATCAGGTACGGGACGGCGGTCTCGTCCGCTTGCGAATAGAAGTTCCACACGGCGACCTCGGTGGCGCCGTTCCAGCTGACGTGGACGACCGTGGTCAGTTCCGGATTCGCCCTGGCTGCGTCTGCAGCGGACGGATGCGCCTGGCTGGGTTTGCTGGCGTAGACGGAGGCTGCCAGAGCGGGCGGCTGCTGGGGGTGGCCGACGAACGGGAACTTGTACGACCGGTAGCTGTTGAAGCGCGGGGAGAGGAACTTGGCTTCCATGAGCGCGGTGCCGTCCGGGGCGTGCTCGCTGTGGTAGCCTTGCGCGCTCCAGCCCATGAAGACGTTGCCACCGTCGAGGCGCTGGAGGTTGCCGCGCATGCGACTCAGGCTCCCGTCCGGGCGGGTGTAGCGGCTCTGCAGCGTCGCGGTCATTCGAACGGTGTCCAGCTCGACGATCATGCCGGAGGAGACGTCCTCTTGGTTGGTGAAGTCGTCGGAGGCGTTGTTGAGGAACGACAGGACGGTGTGCGTCTCGTTGGCCGAGACGAACCGCGCGTTGTGTTGCTTGGAGAAGGTGAAGTCCATCGCGAAGTTGGTGTATTTTCCGCCCAGACGCCAGATGATGTGCCCATCTTGCCCGGAGATCAGATAGATGGTGCTGGTGTAGCGCGCCGACAGGAGGTAGTCGCCGTACACGTTCTTGTCCGCCGCGTTCACATGGATGTAGTCCAGGCCTCCTCCCCCTTCAGGCGGCGACCACGGCATCACATGGTCCGACTCGTGGAGGGGGACCTTGTCGCGAGAGTCCCAGTCGAAGAGGACTGCGCTGGTAGCCAGGTCGATCTCCACAAACCCTCCTGAGGCCACTCTGCTCGATTCCGCCGGCCGGCCCAACTCCGCCAGGGACTGGTCCTGGATCCGGATCGAGGCCGCCAACGCCGTCTTCCCGCCCGGAAGAACATTGAACTCGTGTAGATCCCACCGCTCCAGGTCGTTCGTGATGGGAATGGTGTTCTCCACCAAGTATTTATCGTTAAGTATGTACGCGGCACCTTTAGCCAACGGCGTGCCGTCATTAATGTAGTTGTTCTGGAGAATGAATGAAAGATGGGTGGCACCATCGGCGATGTGGTTCGTGGGCTTGAAGTCAAAGACATTGCGGTTGTTGTGGAGGCAAGATCCGGTCCAGACCAGCTTGCCGTCCTGATCGTAGATGTGAGGTCCCACTTGACAGGGGTTGAATTTACTGTTATAGGGATCGGCGTCAAGGTGACTGTACGGCGCGACGAACCAGTATCCAGGGCTTACGCGACTGCGATCGTGGTAAATTATGTTGTATTTAATTGCCTTGACATTTGGCATCTGTGGGGGAGACGGTCAGTCTGGGTCCGGGGATAAGGATATGTTGGGAACGTGTACAGTGACAAACGAAAGGAGGTCATCATCGCGAGTGACATCAAATGTGTCCGCAGCTCCAGTCGAAGGAAGCAAGGAAGCAAGCAGAAGCAGAAAAGAAGATAAAGAAGGTGAGCGCATTGTGTTCGCGACGAATGAGAAGTCTATATATAGCGAGGGTGAGGCTTAAAGAACGATCGACCGTTGCATGATGGGTCAGCAGAACATGGCTTGACGGTGGCTACATGCAACGCAAAGTGCAAAGGCAACGAGGGTATGAGGAGGAAGAGATGAAGCAAGGACAGAGCCGAAGCTTAAAAACAAAAAACGACGATCAGACACCAGAATCAGGAACGAGATAAAGGGATAAAAATTGAGAATTGAGGAGAGGGCAGCCATAGAGAAGAGGCAAAAGGGTCCCCACCACGTGGAACCACGGGTATCGCAGCGAGGGTTTATCGGCTTCTAGCCTTGAGGCGGCCCCACTGCCTTCCCATACACTGGGAATCCTAAGCGACGGAGGCGTTCGTGTTCGTGACAAACAGGCAAAGCGGCCCGACACTAAGGGACCAGAGGAGACTTCCAATTGGCGAGGGCGTAACCTGTCTTTTCAGCCGCGATGCAGCCTCGATAGTTCAATTAGCGATTCGACCCGTCAGTGTTAAGATTAGTGTCGGGCGGAGACTGAAGCGCTGTGCAGGAGTCATGTGCTCTTATACCCCGTCAGGTTACGAGGAGACCAATCCCGAAACAAGCTGTGAAACTGACATCTCTCCCAGTGGGTATCAGCCACCTGCTCTATCACCCTGGGACATGCAACATCACTTGCTGTATCTTGTTGCAGGCGGATCGTCGACAAAGTCCTACTGTCTTGGTTGACTGCAGAAACAACCCATCCTGCCATCTGGGGCATGGATCTTGATTGATAAGGGCTCTGTTCAAAAGCAGAGCAGCGCAAAAAAGAAATCTCCCCGACTGGGAGTCGAACCCAGGTCTCCCGCGCTTGTTCCCGTAAGGGATTGACAAGCGGAAATCATGACCGTTAGACCATCGAGGAAGCGGATGAGGTACCTTATTTTATCTGTCTACATGGACTAAAAGTAATGAGTGATGCGAAATTCAAGAAGTACGGTGTCTAGACTCCGGAGTGGCTCGGTAGGCCCAGTGGCGCCTAACTAGCGGCGTATATCTCGGCTCCATTGTTGTACTTCTTGAACTGCTCCTAAGGAGTGACTTCGGAGCATTTACGCCCCACAAGGATACGTACGCCTTTTTTTTTTTTGGCCAGTGGAGCTGGCCGCTAAAGATGACTTTATTGATTCGGCGACCCACAACTGATTTTTGTGTAGCATGTGAGCGGCAGCTGTCGGTATAGGAGGTGTATTTGCGCAGCCAATGCCCAAGAATGGAGGACAAGCATGTCTTGCAAGCTCGGTGAGCAAGAAGCATCATAACAGCATTTGATCGGAGGTTGTGTGACTCAATGAGATCACGGTTCAGAGTAGATTCAGAAGAGTTCACATGATTTGTAGGGGAAGCATCCGCTATTTGGTGAACATTATACTCCTGCACATTTTACACAGCACCATGGGTAATTCGACTTGTAGCAAAGCAAGTTTTAAGGGAAGTTGTTTCTGCACAGGAGCCGCACTCGAGCTGCAAACCAGAACCACGGAAGAAGGAAGGTCCGGGGGCCGAGTGGTTGCGAGAGACACCTTGTCTTTCAGGCTCACATCATGAGCTGCAGATCCCGGATTGGCCTCCTGCAACAGGTCACTCTGCTGATCGCAAAAAGGGAGTTGACAGGGAAAGAGAAATTGGGGCCAAGTCCGGAGTACTGTACCTGCCGCCAGGTCTTCCCCATGAAGATCCTGGGAGCTGTCACTGTAGTCGAGATCCGTGATATTAAAGGGATCGATTGCATCGCACGCATTGAAGGCGTTCAAGAAGAGGTATATATCCTCTGTCTGGCATCGAGAATGCAACTAGCATCTGGTACCACACAAACTATTGCGAAGCTAGCGCAGGGGCACTGCGAGATGACTCCCCAGCTGCTGCACGATGACACCGCAAGGCCGCCAGAGACTATTGGCAACATCCGACGATCTATTCCCACCGGGGTTATAGCATGGAGAGAAGCAGCGCTGCAAACATCGCCGCCGCCGATCCCGATCATGCAAGGGCCATCGGCATTGGCGGCGACCCGAAGGTTTGAGTGGCTGCATTTCCCCCTCTCCACCATGAACCAGTCCAAGTTTGCTCTAGCAGCATGACTGGATTACACTATCTGCTTAATGACATGCTGATCGTCGCCGAAGGCCGGAAGGTCCACCGAGCGCAGCCAGGGTCTTCTCCTCCGCATAAGTATTCGCAATGACCCATCCTCCCGCCGGCATCGGGTACGGCATCGGATTCAAAATGCTCCTTCTCGGAATTGTAGGACCGACAAGATATATATAATCTGTGACATCCGAAATGGCTGTTCCTCAACCAGTTCTCATGGAAGACCAAGACAATCCCGCAACAGGGCATACAATAACCATGGACCACGAGCCAAACCCCGACCCCAAGCACCGCATGGACGGCGGCCTGACCGCATGGCTTCAAGTCCTCGGAAGCTGGCTGATCTTCGCAAACACCTGGTCTGTCATCTCGTCTCCACAGTGCCTCCGTACCACCCAAGCTTATCTGCAAGTAAATCCACCGAAATCAGGGGCTTAACGAGTTCGTACGGCGTCTTCGAAGCCCACTACAGCACCGTCCTGTTGACGGATTACACCCCGTCGGCCATCGCGTGGATCGGCTCGGTGCAGCTCTTCCTCATGATGGCGATCGGGTTGCCCGTCGGCTCGATCATGGACCGGGGCCGCCTGCGACTGCTGGTGGTCGCGGGCAGCTGCCTGCAGGTGTTAGGCATGCTGATGACCTCGCTGTGCACCGCGTACTGGCAGGTGTTCCTGGCACAGGGGGTCTGCGTGGGGATCGGGAGCGGGATGCTGGTCGTGCCCTCGGTGGCGGTGCTACCGCTGTACTTCTCGGCGAAGCGCATGCTGGCGACGGGGATTGCGGCGACGGGGAGTAGCTTAGGTATGTCCTTACACTTCCACCCTAATCCCGGGAAAGGTAATAGATAATACCTATCTAAAAACCATGCAGCGGGAATCATCTACTCGATCATGCTGCGCCGGCTGATCGTCCGCATCGGCTTCCCCTGGGCCGTGCGCGTGCTCGCCTTGGTCATGCTCGCCGGCTCCCTCACCTGCGCCGCGGTGATGCGCCTCCGTCCCGGCCATGCCAAACGCGCGCCCCTCCAATGGAGGAAATTCACCTCCGATTCGTGCCTTGTCTCCTTCACCGCCGGTATGCCCCAAGTCCCCCCTCTCCTCCTTCCACCCCGGATCCTAACCAAAGCACCAGCATTCACCGCAATGATGGCCTCAGTCTACATCCCCTTCTTCTACGTAGAAGACTACGCCCTCGATCTCGCCATCGACAAAGACACCTCCTTCTACCTGCTCAGCATCATGAACGCAACCAGTCTATTTAGCCGCATCGGCTCGAACTGGTTAGCTGATCGGTGAGCCCAGGCCCAGCCCAGCCTTCGCCCAGCCCTAAACCCCAAGCCCTCTCTGCCCCAATTTTCCCATCAAACGCCACCCCCCCAACATCAACCGGAATCAAAGCTGACTGCCCCAAAAAAAAAGATGGGGCGGCCTCCCCCTCGCCCTCCTCGGCTGCATTGCTACGTCCCTAATCCTCTTCTTCTGGCGCTTCGCCACCACCCTCCCAGCCCTGGTGGTCATCGTCGCGATCTACGGCTTCGTGTCCGGGAGTATCGTCTCATTACCGCCGGCGATCATCGCCAATCTGACGGACGATGTATCGGAGGTCGGGGCCAGGATCGGGGTGGCGTATACGGTTGCGGCGGTGGGGGCGTTGATCGGGAATCCGATCGCGGGGGCGGCGCGACGTTTTGGACAGTCGGTGCAGGTGGAGTATCAGGGGACGTGGGTGTTTGGGGCGGCGGTGATGGTGGTGGCGGCGGGGTTTGTGGGGCTGACGCTGTGGTTGAGAAGGGTTGCTGCAAGTTGTAAGTAAGAGGTAAGAAGTATGGTGCTGGCTTGAAGTTGATATAGACATAGATAGGTGTAGATGTCTACCTTAATAGTTTGAGGTTTGTTGTGAGACTATTGGTAAGAGTAAACATAGAGCTATTTATTGTCGGCAACGTAGATTTCACGAGAGCTGCTGTTATGGAAACTTTTACAGTATGTTATTATCAAGCACGGTTGGGAATAGTGTCTGAGATCAATTGCAATGCCCTACCAAGGACTAACCTCGGACCCATTCGACCATCAAGCACCGGAAGCATCCGACCGACCCCACATCATCCACGGACTTAGGGAGCCACAACTTAAAACATGCAGCAACAGTGCAACTAACCACTAGGTACAAAACCCATGCTCTTCCCCCGGGTCTAACCCAAAACACACCAACTACCATCACAACTAAATCCAATCCCCATACCAAACCACAACCACAACCACAACCACAACCACAACCACAACCACAACCACAACCACAACCCTATCAACAGCACAACCCAAAAGAAAAATGCTAAAATCCACCCTCCGCCACCTCCGACTTCCCAAACCCCTCCCCCCATCACTCACTGCCCAAAGACGACTCACAACAACCGCTCCCCAGGCCGCCCCAAAACCAAAACCGCAGCACTCCCTCCCAGCATCCTACTACCGCGGCGGCACCAGCCGCGCTGTCTTCTTCAACGCAACGGACCTGCCCCGCGATGCCTCGACCCACCCCGCAATCTTCCGCGCCGTACTGGGCAGTCCCGACGCCGCACACCGGCATCAACTCGACGGGATGGGCGGGGGCATCAGCAGTCTCTCGAAGATCTGCATCATCCAGGGCGGATCCACACACCCCGCTGCGGACGTGGATTACACGTTCGTGTCGGTCGGGGTGGTCGACGACAAGGTCGATCTGACGAGTAACTGCGGGAATATGAGTGCGGCGGTGGGGCCGTTCGCCGTGGATGCGGGTTTGGTGCGGTCGCCCAGCTTGAAGGGAGATGAGGCGACGGTGCGGATCCATAATACCAATACGGGGAAGATTATTCATTCTACGTTTGCGGTGGTCGAGAGTGCATCCGGAAACCAGGGGCCGCCGGTGTATGAGGCGGCGACGAGTGGGGAGTTCGCCATCGATGGCGTGGCGGGCACGGCCGCGCGGGTGCAGCTCGATTTCGTGGACCCCGCCGGTTCGGTGACGGGCAAGTTGCTCCCGACGGGGAATGTGGTGGATGCGTTTGAGGTCGACGGAACAGAGGTGGAGGCCACGTGTATTGATGTCGCCAATCCGTGTGTCTTTGTCTCCGCGGCGAAGCTGGGGGTCCAGAGTAACCTGACGCCCGATGAGCTGACGGCCGACGGGGGGTTGTTGGAGAAGTTGGATCGCATCCGCCGGTTGGCCGGGGTGAAGATGGGGATCGCGGCATCGCCCGAGAAGGTGCCCGGGAGCATTCCCAAGATCGCTCTGGTGGCTGCCCCCGGGAAGGATGCGCGCTCGGTCGCCACGGGTCAGACGCCGCAGAAGGTCGATCTGGTGGCCAGAGCGCTCTCCGTGGGCCAGCCGCATAAGGCGCTGCCCATTACGGTGGCGTTGTCCCTGGCGACCGCGGCGCGGGTGGAGGGGAGCACTGTGTCGCAGGTTGTGAAACGGGGGCAGACGGTCGATGCTGCCGGGATCACCATCGGACATGCCAGTGGAAATCTGTTAGTGGGGGCAGAATTCGCCGAGGATGGCAGTCTGCAATCCGGCCGCGTGTTCTCGACCGCGAGGAGGTTGTTTGAGGGAAGGGTGTTCTGGAAAGATGAGTAAGGAGTATGCTGCGGACCTCATATTGTGTAAATAGTATCAGTCGTGGAGAATGACAGAGGCGGTTCTCAGAAGCAATCCTTCATCACGCTCGACAGTTCGCCCCCGTAGTCAACCATATACTGTCCACTCCTCCCCCATACGTCAGTCTCCTGGTGCGGCGGCAGCGCTCCCATTCCCATGATCTGTGTTTCTAGGCTTCCAACCGCCTCAAACCACTCCATCAACTCCCTCGTCATCTGCACCCCATCCACCGGCGTGAGACTCTGTATACTGCCCGTTGACTGCATCGAAGGCTCAACCCCGCCACTCGCTTGCTCTATCTCCTGCTCCTTTGCAGGGTTAAGCACATCCACACCCCCAACCCCGGCTTCCGCTGCTTCCGGCTGCCGACGCATAACCTGCGGCCCCAACTTCCTCAAACTGCGAATCGACTTCCACAGTCGCAGTGAAATATAAGACTTTGTCGAGAAGCCTTTAATAAGCTCCAGCGCCAGGTAGAATTCCTCCCGACAGGCGCTACTGAACTGTGACGGGGCTTGCGCGACAGCCAGAAACAGCACTGCAACTGCCGAGACGAGGAACCAGTTGAAGGTCACCTGCTGAAGACGGTAGATGTCTGTCGTCTCGTTGAGTCGCGTGATGAAGCGGATTGTCTCCCTGGCTAGGTCGACTACCATCTGCGATTCGGCGGGGTACCGCACGATATGCGCGGCCGAGTGGAGCACGGGCCGATGGATGAGCATGCGGAGCTGGTTGGAGCGAAGGTAAAGCAGCGCCCGCAGGCGATGCAGACTGCGCGGTGGTCGAGGCTCGGTCTTCGAGGCTGACCGCGGCTGCTGCTCCAGACGCAGAATCTCCGGGATGTTCATCACCCACTGCTGGACCTGCCAGTCTAGATAATTCATCTCTTCCTTCTTGATCTCGTTCGTATTGTTGAACGCCGAGATGAACTTCCACACCTTGGCCGCGATGCGGCTGTACCGGATCATGACCCGGAGGTAGGGGGTCTTCTCCTCCGGCTCCGGCAGCCAGGGATCGATGTCGCTATCCTCGAGCGAGAACGGCATACCCGTCCCAAAGCTCCACCGGATGTCGAGGATATAGATCGACCAGAACAGCCGGAGAACGCGATCCCGTCCCGCGGCGACGATGGCCGGCTGGCCAAGCGTTTCCCGTCGGTGCAGCCCCTTTTCAAGGCACATGCGCTCCACGATCCCAGCGATGCGCCAGGCCAGGATTTCCTCGTCGACCTGGAAGTAGAAAATCGCCTAGCGCGCTTATCAGCCAGCCATACATCGATTTTTCCGCCTAGGAACTCACTCACAACCAGCGTCAACAGAATAATACTCTTAATGTCCGACGGTCCCCACACGCAATTATCGGCCTCCTCCCGCACACTCTCAAACAGCCGCATCGCCAGCTCGCTACTCCCCGCCGCCTCAGCCGTCAACGCACACGCAAGGACCAACCGTAGAATTTGCACATCATCGGCATGTACCGCGCGAAACCCCTCGGGATGCGCCCCAAACACCACCTCGACCTGATCCAGCAAGTCCTGCAAATCCAAGACCGGATACATCATCCCCATCTCCTCCTCATACACGCGACACAGCCGCATCGCCTCGGCCTTATCTAACGACCACAGCGGATCCCCCGAGGGCAGCGCCGCATCCAGCAACGCCGGCGGCCCTGGCGAATCCGGCGGCAGCGGCGAAGGCGGGTGGTGGGCATCGGCCTCCCCTTCCTCCGCACCGTCAGCGTCAGTCTGCTCGACAATCCCCTGGCGGAGGAGATTCGACTTGGCGAGATGCAAGCTGAAGGCGGATGTCGTCGGGCCCTGGAACGCGGTCTCCCTGACCGTGGACCGGCGACGGAACGGTCGCTGGCTGCCCGCCCCCGTCGCCGCATCCGACCGCGCGATCGCGGTGGCAGTGATGCTGGTCTGCGTTAAAGTCGTGATAGCCGCGGAGAGGGTTTTGATCTGTTCCTGCATAGCAGACATCTGTTTACAGAGTTGCTCGAGATATACTCTGGGTGTGTATCAGCATGGGTGGGAATCTTCCACTGACCCGTGTTGGTTGGGGAGGGCATGTATGTGTGTTTGTGAGTGGAAGCGCGAACATACTGTTGATCCGACTCGCCATCGGCGTGATGAGGGGGCTTGTCGTAGATACAGTCAATGCGCTGTCGGCCGCATCGCTGACAAGGAGTCTCTCCATTGCACTTGATCTTGCGGCGCTTGCATTCGTTGCTAGTGGGCATGTTAGACTTGATCCAAGCGTGACTGAGGAAATGAAGAGAGGGAGGGAGGGAGGGGGGAAAGGCCTACCAAGCCTTGGCGATGTACTTCCGCCGTCGTTTGCGTGGGTTGGCCCCGTCCTGGTCATCCCGGTGTGCTGGGGGCGAGAAGTCCCATGTCGTTAGAGAGGCAGTAGCGTCCATGATGGGATGTGGAAGTGACTGGGCGCGAGAGTCGAGTGCGGAGATGACGGAGGTAGGTGGACGTGGACGTGGACGTGGACGGTAAACAGACGGTGGCTGCTCCGACCGGGCGCAAGCAGCGCGGGGAAAGACTTGATGAGTGGCGGTCAGAAGGACGGAAGACCCCGTGCGGGGGATTCCGCACCCGAGGCTACCTAGTGGTGCTTATCTTGACCACCTGAGCCTGCTTATGCATAATTCAATGAGAAATTACTTGATAAATCGAAGGTGGCTATAACAGATGCTCAATCGGCAACTTTTTCACGCACACATCATCTACCTGGATCATTTGGCCCATTTGCTTCCAACAAATTATCTATATTGATCTCCCAGCTATACAATCAACACATCTACCAACTTATTATCCAGAGTACTGTACTGTACAATTCACAGATCCTTAGTCCGCTCATCACTCTCCCGGATCCACTGCTTCAACGTCTCGGGATTCCTCGGTCGGAAGCCCACCTTGAACGGCTTGGGCTCCGTCGTCAACGCCGTGGGGATGGCATTGCAGTGAATGGCATCCATGATCGGACGGTCGTCTGGGTTCTTGGCCGGGAGCATGGTGAAGGCGGTGATCAGGCGGATGTAGGCGGTGTACAGCTCGCGGTTGGCCAGATGCGAGCCAGCGCACATGCGCGAGCCAGCCCCGTAGCCGTAGTGCGGAGTGCCCGTGCCCTCGCCCATCTCCAAATACCGCTCCGGCAGGAATTGCTCGGGCTTGTCGAAGTGCTCCTCATCGTAGTCTGCGGCGTATGCGTTCTGGAGAGGGGGTTAGTAAGATTGTATCATAAGCCGGAAAACAAGTGGACAGGCGACATACCATGAAAAAGGTGGTTCCAGCGGGGATGGTCGCGCCGTTGTAGACAATATCCTTGGTGCTTTCGCGCGGCAGACAGATGGGGATCACGGTCCAGAACCGGAGGGTCTCTTTCACCAGGGCGGTCACGTAAGGGACTTTCTCTTCCACGAGGCACTTCTCCCACGCATCACCGTCCGGGTACACTGTCATGATCTCCTCGTAGGCTTTCTGCTGGACACGCTGGCCGTCTTCCGAGGCGAGGTAGGCGATGCCCATGATGACGTTGCCGGGAACCGTGTCCAGTCCGGCAGAGACCATAGTAAGACAGATGGACTTGACTTCCGCTGCTGTTTGTCAGTATACACACATTGCCTTTGGAAAGTAACCAGGGATGACTCACCCTCATTCAGCTTCGCCTCAGGATCCTTGAGAATGTTCCCCGTGATGCACGGTTTATCCGTTCCCTTGGCAATCTGATCCTTGAGAATATCCAACAGATACGTCAAATACTTATCGCGGCGCACGCGGAACGACTCAGCCTCGGTGTTCGCCTTAGGCAACAGACGCATGAGGGGGATGTAGTCCTGCCAATTGTTGCTGGTACTGCGGAAGTTAGAGACGCCGCGCTCGACGTCGCAGATCTCGTGCAGCAGCTCATCGTTGACGTTGCCGCTGATGCGGAAGCCGTAGTTCAGGGTCAGACTGGTGTTCAGCGCGAACCGCTGGAAGTACGCGACCGGATTGATGTCCTTGGTGCCGTGGTCGCTGTCCTGGAACAGCTCCCGGATACTGGCGGTGGCCTCGAGGTCGATGATTGGCATGTACGACTGTACGGCGGGGCGGTTCAGCGCGGTGGCGGCCGCCTTGCGTCGGCGCTTGCAGGACTCGTCCCAGGGCGAGGTGCCGATCGTGAAGCCCTGGGAGCTGGACACGACGCTGTGGAAGGTGTGGAAGGTCGGGCGCGAGATCAGGGCCGACTGGTCTTTAATCCACAGCTGGCGGACGGACTCGAAGCTGTTGGCGAAGACAATGCGCTGGAGAAACCATCACAATCTATTAGCATAGTTTTGACTCTCGTGTCAGTCTTTTATTCACAGCGGGTCACATACCCGATTTCCCATCCGGACCTGGAAGACGGGGCCATATTTCTTCGCCCATTTCTTCGTCACAGTAGCATGCTGGTCGCCTAATTGCAACAGGTTTCCAAATATGGGTACCCCAGGAATCTCAGGTATCCCCTTGATCTTGGGAACGTCGGTGCGATTGAGATAGCGGATCAGAAGATATACCACCGCGACAGCGGCGAGGGCGACAGTTTGGAAGGACATGGTGTGAGTGATGGAAGTGATTGTGAATTTGACTTATTGGACGGTGGTGTCTGCAAGAAAGCAGGAGCTTTATACACCTCTCCTCCGCGGTTCTCCTCGGCTTATCATGGTTCAAGTTGGCTATGCAGCGGTCCCCATGCAGCTAGACCTTGAAAAGTGGCAGTGGATTTGCGTCATGGGCCACCGGGCCAACAAAGAGGGCTCAGGCCAAGTGCATTCGTTACCCATTGCTGTAGCAAATAGAGTGTCGGCTGGCGCAGTTAGTAAGGTGGTTCCCCCGCACTTTCACCCTGGTTGAAATGAACAAATGCACGAGCGTGAATTGGCTGGAGCGGGATTTCGGAATGAAACACCGCGACCCCGCTCTCAACGGAAGCGGAACCGGGGCCGAGATCGACAGCCGCCCCATAACATAACCCAACTAACCAACTGGCAACCACTCCTTCCGCTACTATCCGTCCTGCTGCTCTCGGCCCGATGATGGCGCTTCCTTTAGGTCCGACACGGTATGTATATACTCCGCTGATAAGACTGAGAACACTGAGAACACTCCAAGGGCCTATACAGAATCCTGCCTAAGATTGCACAGTACTTCAAGTCTGCTAATCACCACAAATCACAATCATATTACCCTACTCGGCCGGACTCGGTCATGGAACAATGACATCAACAAATTCCTTGTGCAACATCGAAAGACATACCCATCATGCAACAGCCCATTATAGTAGAAGCATGACACCCCTCATCCACAATTCCCATTTCACAGCCACCAGCACATCTCCTCGTGCTCAGCTCATCCCGAGACTCCCACACAGATATAGTATCCATACCACATATTCGTGCATCCCGTCCCCACGGCCGGATTCCAGGTCACAATGTTCGGCACAGTGATCCCCTCCTTTGTTGCAACAGTGGTACACGTATCGCCCGACGCGACCAGGTAAAAGGTATTGCAGTTGTTCACCATGCCCGTCTGAATGGGGGTGGGAGTCGACACCGCAGCGGTCGTGGTGGTACTTGTGGTGGTGGTTGTCGCCGTTGATCCCACCCCAACGCAGACATAGTACCCCAGCCACAGGGCGGTACACCCGCTGCCGACGCCGGTGTTCCACGAATAGAAGTCAGTCAGGGAGATGCCGGCTGTCGTCGCGATACTGGCGCAGGTCTCACCACTCGCTACCAGATGGTACGCGTTGCAGTTTGAGGCGATGCCTGGCTGGGTAGGGCTGGGGGCTGCGGCTGCTGCCGCGCTGTTGACTTTGGAGACTGCAACGAGCGTGGTTGGGGTAGGAGATGCAGCAGGAGGAGCTATGGCTGCTGCCAGGGAGGCAGCCAAAGTGAAAAGAGAAAGGTAGGAGAGATGCATGACTGATATTTGAGAGGTTGTTACTCAGATGCTTGATCTATCGGGTTTGGTGCTTGTTCCTATCGAGATTTTGGTGGCGGAATACGCATCCTTTTATATGCTGAAGTGATGATTCCTGGTGTACTCAACCGCAGGTCACATGGTCCCTCTGCTGTCAACAGAAGAAGGGATTTTTGCATCTGGGGCAGGAAACTTGGACAGATGATGATGATGAGTGTCTCCTCACGAACAACAGCCGCAATCGATGCAGGTCTCATATTCCGGGGCTCATCTGATTATCTGAACGACGGGGTGTCCAATAATCGAAGCATGCTCCAGGTGACTCCTGCCTCCATTGGCTGCCTAACTGAATCCCTGCCGGCTAGTGTACCTTTTCGTCGTCCAAGATACATGTCCTATGGACACACTCGGAAGGCAGTCGGGCTGTTGCAGGGACTGCGAAGGATGATGATGTCGGGTCTCGGCCACCGCTTCCCAAGCGAAGCTGAAATCCTGCAAGACAGGACATGGATGCTTGCAGTTCGAGTGACACGCCGATATTTCCAGGCGTCCCGTTGGTCGAATTCCGCGGATTGCTCGTATCATGTCTCACAAGGGTCTAGTTCTGATTGAATAGATCCGGGTTTTCGTCTGAGAGTATTCTTTTCTGGTTCCTGCATCAGGCGCCTGATTAACCCATTACCTAAGTATCGCGGCGGAAAGCTTTCCGAGATAGTCAGCATGTGTTGTGCAAGCCATGGTTGAGAAATTTTCATTACTATCAACTGCTCAATCAGTCCCGAGATAACTCAAGGCTCGGCAAGGTGCATGGACGTGACAAGAATCAAGAATAAGTCACACGTGCCGTTCGTCAGGATGACTGCCTAAGCCCAGAGCCTTGTGTGACGCTTGTTCCGCGGATGATCGGCATATGAGCTCATATTGTCTGACATGCAGGTCTTCTTCACTGGGATGAGGTGAGACAGCAAAAGCAACCAGTCGTCGTCATAAGCACGCCCCAGGTCTCTTCTCAAGCCCTTGTCAAGCCCTTGCGATGTAGTTCAGATGTCGCGATATGCGTTTCAGAATTCGTTCTCTGTGGAAGTAAAGCTTAGTTCCCAGCAGACCTATAGCGAGGTGGAGTCGAGCAGCCAAAGCCGCGATGTACCTGGCGAAGAAATTATCGCTCTCCGCTTGTCATGCCATCAAACCCGAGGTCAGTGCGGGGGCGGGGGCATGCATCTAAGCTACTGCATGTCTCGCAAGCGGATCACAAGTAGGTAGTATCGACCAAGTGCAGCGTGCAGCGTTGCATTCCAGTACATAATGCTCTGGAATGTAATCGAAGACTCGCGCTCGCCTCGTCCGTCAGTATGTCCCGGATAATTGTATGTTGCGTGTAAAGAACAAAAAACGATAGTGGGTCATTGAGCTACGGCAAGCAAAAGCAAAGTCAAGAATAAGCTGCAGTAGCAGAAGGAAGTCGAGAAGTGAAGAAGGTGCGGGGAATGCAAATGTAAGACATTTGAACAGGCGTTGAGTTGGTGTTTAGTCCCAGTCAAACCCCCGGTGCCTCCGGCCACACCGCCGACGGGCCATGCACGCCCTTATCAGCAAGTGAGCGGGAATAACATGAGTACAGCTCGGTAACCTCAACTCACGAAGTTCAAGTAGACGGTCCACATAGCATAGATACAGAATTTTGGTGCCTTGCACGTACGATTTCAGGTCCAAAACCAAGGTTTACAAATGCGATTGGGTTAAGTATACATCAAGGTATTATGAACAAGTTATAAGGGTATAATCAACTCAAAAAGTCTCACACGCTTCTTTACACCATAGAAGCCTTCCTCGACGCACTGAGTTGGCTGCTCCGACGTCTAGTAGCGTGTCTTTGCCTGTCCGCGGCAAGGGTCTGTGCGAACTTGCTCCTCGCTCGTATCTCAGGACCTTTCCAGTAAAATATGTAAATCGGGATGGTTACCAAAACAGCCAAGCAGCCAAGGATAGTGCTAGCCCATTGGAGATGGAAGCGTGCCCCGATGTTGGTATACATCGGGGTTGCGTACATCGCGGATAGCCCAGCAAGTAGATCTCGTGCGAACCCATTCCCACCCGTAGCGGACGCAGAATACTCGCCATATGCCGCCACCATATAGTCGATCGTCGCCATGTAAATACCATAGTTAGCGATGGCAATCAAGAATACGAAGACCAGGGGTACCATCCAATGGGTATACTCCGGGCCCCTGGACGTCCAGGCAAAGCCGAAGAGTCCAATTGCCTCCAGGGGTGCGATGAATAGCAAAAGCAAGAGCCGACGCTCAGCCACCCGAGCCGCATCACCCTCGCGTCGTCGAATCAAGCGCTGGCGGTAGATGTCGGGCAGGAAGATGGCATACGCAACCAGATAGCCAACAAAAATGGCGACAAAGCACAATCCAACCTGCAGTGGATTAAAGCCCCATTGTTTGAAGACCAAGGAGAACGATTCAATGCAGGTGAAGATTAGCGCGTCGGAGAAGCCAGAAAGAAGAGATAGGAAAAGCACAATGGGCTCGCGGAGGAACATCTCAAATGGGCGCCGCCAAATGCGAAGGATTTCTTTCACGTCAAACCGGGATGGCTTGAGCTCACTCGGGCCATAAATATTTGGATCCTCACCGGATTCGCGCCGACGCTTCGCCTCCCGATCCAGCAAGATGGTAGATCTTGTCTCAGTAACGAAAAAGAAATGGAGTATTTGGGTGACTCCACCGAAAATAAGCTGAATCCAGAAGTTCCACCGCCAGTTCAACCACTGCTCCATCATTCCTCCGAATATGGGTCCAATAGTTGTCCCGCCGACAGAACTCAAGACTACATATGCGACAGCAAAGCCCTGTTCATGTGCCTCCCACATGTCAGCGGTCATACCCAGGGTTACCGAGCCTCCTGCGGAGCTAAGTCCACCAAGGCCGCGACCAACAACCATAGTTCCAAAGTTAGGGGCCAAGGCACAGGGAATTTGCCATATATTCACAAGGAGAAGGCTCAGTTGCATGATAGGCCATCGACCGAATTCCTCGCTCCATGGCGCCCATAACTCGCAGCCAAAGGCGTAGGTTATCAGAAAGATCATTTGACCGACTCGAGCCGCTTGCTGGCTGATATGAAAATGCTCCGATAACTGCACCACGGCATTGGAGTATGTACTGCTGTTGAAGTTCATGGACATTTGAACGACGAAGATGACTGTCAAGATTCCCCATTTCTTGTACCATGAGAAGCTGAAGCCAAGGTTCTCATATGCCTCCTCTTCAGTCAACTCGCGCTTTCCATCGCCGCGAAATTTGCCTCGCACCTCACTATCGGTACCCGAAGATGCTGCATGCTCGTCATGTATGCTGGTGGGCCTTCGTGTAGGGCTCAGGTCGCAGTCTCCAAGACCAGAGTCTTTCTTTTCCGACTTCTCATGGTCAAATAGTGGAGATTGCGGTGACTGGTTCCTCGAGGTCATGATAACGGTGCACGGTCAGTTTGGGATATTCTTCAGAGTCGACCAGGCTTCTTTGATTGAGTTGTCTGAATAGGTGGTAGGCCTCAGGAGACATGTAGTGCATAGATGACATTGAGTACCCCAATTATCAGACGATATGAAGACGAATGGCATGGTGATAGAACGAAGTCGAGGTATTGCATCACCCGAAGAGGAATCGATGTAGGTCTTATAAGTATTTTTGCATTTGAATTTATGCTGATGGCCCAAAGGGGAAGGATGTGGGATGAATTCGCCAGCGGAGGTGCGACGTCATAAAACCCCGGGGTCAAAAATGGACCCTGTGCCAGCAGCAGTGGAGATGCTGCACGTCCGCTTTCCGATCTGTTGATTTCCCCGGTTCCACATCTTGGATAGTCAAGAATCAAGACGGTTGAGCTGCTGCAGTTCTTGCCTCAAGCTTAGTAAGATGCCTGGCTGTTTTCCACGAGCTTGCTGGTGACGTCGAATCGATATGGCCACTTTGTAGGATATAGCGCATGTGCTTGACTCAATCTGCTACCTCTATCTGCATGTTGCGCTTAAACTCGCACCAACCACAGCCATTCATGAAGAAATGAGTCTGTAAAAAGCAACTCGGCTTCGATTCCTGATAAAGGACCAAGACGTTGTAGACCCAATCAGCGAATCCGATGGAGGATTTCCCGGAATTCCTAAAGCGGAATCCCGGAGTGCGACCGTCCAAGGTCATCGCAACGCTTGTTGTTTGGTCGGAATCATTCACAGTAACTCTCGGCATGACGCAAAGTCAAGGGCTTGTTCCAGGATTATGAAAAATTTCGGTCTACATATGAAAGGTCCTCATCCTCCAGGGTGCTGGTTCTTGGTAATTCGTAGTCTCAGAGGTATGAATCGACAGCTCATTCACCAGATTAGATAAATTTCGTGGCCGTGAGCTGATGGGGTGACATCAAGTCGCTGAGAGCTCTTATGTGTTTGATGCAGCATGACAGTATCTCCATAATGACTGCTGATGGTGACAGGCATTTGCTGGCTTTGAAGTGAGCTGCAGTCGCCCAGTGACGTGACACTCAAAGCATAAAATCCCTTATATTATTCCCTGCCTGGTTCTAGAAGGATTCTTGATCATGGGTGTGGGAGAACATTTGAAAATCGAATGCCATGGTTCCCTGGTGATGGCCTTAAAAACCGGTCGCCATCCATGGAGCAGGTATTCATGATTTCGCGGTTCCCGACTCTCCTAGGAGCCAGGGAATGCCTGGGGTACCGAGTACAATTTCCGAATGCATCAATATGTAGATCAAGAGGAGCTGTACTTATCAGTATACAGAAGCCTTTGTGTAGGCCACTTTGGTCTTTGTTGATGTGACGCATATCATAGACTTTTGATGCTGTGTCGAGGTCCGGTTTGCTAAACTCCTGCCTCGTCATTCATTCATTTAGTCCGGGAGATGAAAGGTCACCTGACATTTCGGTAAGGTGGATACGCTCCTTCCCGCCGCAGCACTCCACAGTTGGTTTATATTCTGCTCAGAGATGAAGTGAGCCATTTTTCTCCGATCGCGAGATGGTGGGAATTGAGGCGTTATTCACGTGACCCTCCGATTACATACTAGATGTTCCCCGATATCTGATGGATGGGAGTATCCTAAATGGCTCATTCCATATTCCATGCATGGCGGACGAGTACGCCAAGACCCTAGTCCGATTTCGGGGGCAGCTTGCGAGACCCTACCAGGTTTGGTGGAGAGAGCCGATACCGGGTGGAGCAGCAGGCGTTTGCCGTGGGCCCGAGACTGTCTGCCCCCTCTGGATGATGGCCGCCGTCGGGCCTGGCTCGCCCCGAGTTTTCCATCTCATCATCATCAACTGTTGCCAGGCTGAGTTGACGATTACTGCTGCAATCGCAATCATTCTCATCTGCGAAACCTCCGACCTTGTCGGATCTATTCACATCTGCCTAACGTCTTATACTTCCACGCACTACCTGTTCTGACACATGCATCCATGGTGTTTCCGGGGAGACTGAGTACAGGCTGCTATGTATGCCGTAAGCGAAAGGTCAAGGTATGTTGGTCGCTGTTAAAAGTGGGATGGTTGTGTGGTTTTTTTAATCCTTCTCTTTCGTAGTGTGATGGGAAGAGACCGGTTTGTCGTCGCTGCGTGACACATAACAGGCAATGCACAGGCTATCCTGATGCCTTCGCATTTCGAACCTATAAACCCGGCTCGACACACAAGATCTCGACAGAAGATGCGAAGGTTTCTGCTGGATTCGGACCGGAGCATAGCAGCAAAGCTGACGCGGGCGTCTTGGACCCTGAGGGTTCGGAGCTATCATTATGCTCCACTAACCTAATCTCCGAAGAATTGGGGCCTTTGGTACCCACCCTTGCTCCTTGCTGGGAGTCCCAGTCCCTCGGATACTTCTATGATCAGTATGTCCTTCACGCCCAAAGGTCTCCTTGTGAGGGTCACCTCGCATTCCTTCCGGACTTGTTCCGTGAGAAAGGTGATGACCCTTGCTTGAAGCATGCTGTGCTCGGCGTGTCCTATCTTTCCTTGCATAATGTCTCCAGGCGGGCAGAGCTGCATGCCAATGCTCGACGGCACTATGGACTGGCTTTGAACTCACTGAGTACTGCACTAAGCATTGAAGGGGCTTATATGAGGGATGAAGTTTTCGCAGCGGCACTTTTCTTGAGCATGTTCCTTGTAAAGCAAACCAGATCAGTCCTCCCTCGAGAAAGACTTTGCTAATCAAATACAGGACATTAGCGGTGATCACAGCTATGTCGCAAACCCTCACATCCCAGGTATCTACTCCCTCATGCAACTGCGAGGGAGGCCACCTCGGACTAGCAAATATGGCCGAGTCCTCTTCGGCTGGGCTTTCACCCAAACCGTAGGTCAACTAGCCCGGCCCGACCAAATCACCAGGTTAACAGATCAGCAGCAAATCCAGGCCATAGCCAACAACCAATATCAGTATGCCTCTCTGCCCTCGTCTATCAACATGATCTACGAACCGGACTTCATCTATCGCTCGGGAATAATCACGGGAAAGATATCCGAGTTCTGTAACTCCGTCCAACGAACAAGAGAAACCTTGGGTCACAGCTTGAAACCCGCCAAATCACTCCGCTCAATTTTGTGGCGCGCTCGCTGCATCCTTGACGAGATCGACACCTGGAACGAACGGATCCCTGGTCATTGGAAACGCCAATGTCTCGCCGCCAATCCGGACGACGGTCCTCCCGAGGAGCCACAGACCACTCGCGACCCCTGGACAACCTGCTTCCTCGCCGTCGTGCAAGCCACCCAGATTGTCTTCTACCTCCAAGTCATAGCATGCTGCGATGCGCTTGACGATCTGGAAGAAGCAAGCACGTCTGAAGCCTCGCCACACTCTCCCCGACACGACCCGTACGGTAGCGACGACGACTCCTCCGACGAGGGTCCACATAGTCCTACATCACTCTACGAGATCGACTTCGAAGGTCGCATTGAGGACCTGACGGACTCAATCTGTTTCACTGTCACAACAGCCCTCGGCCGAATCAACGAAGCCACGGGCGCGTTCCAACTCCACCCGCATAGCAAGCTGGGTAACAGCTCGACATTACTGTGGCCGATGTGGCTGGTGGTCAACTCGTCCTTTTCCACGGCAGAGCAGGTCTCTCTGTGCCGAAAGGGGCTGGAGAGTATCGGGTCGACCATGGGGTACCGCATCGCGTCCGTGCTGAGTAGGAATGCATGCCCACTTTCGCCGTTTGGGATGCCCCCGCAGAGCGCGAGCGCGCTTTGTTTGCCGAGCCAGCAAGCCCACACGATGGATATCTGAGACTTTCCGAGCGTTCCGTAGATACACTAATTTAATGACACGTGCTATGAGTTATGGAATACGAACACTTTCATAATGCAATGATCAATTCGAGAGCTTTCAACACTTTGTAAGCTATTCACCAGGCTATCAGCAAATAGATAACCTTCCAACAGTATCCCAGCAATACCCAGCAAGCACGCTATCAAACATGCCACGGCGTAGCGTGCAACTAGTCTGGGGGGGTCCAACTTTACTCGGTCGGGAAACCCCGAGCGGGTACCTAGTTGAACCTGGCAACTGGAAAAAAAAAAAAAAACCCACCGTAAATCCGCCGAAGGCTGAACCCCCCGTGCTCATAAATAAACCCTCCGAGTCCGAGCCCGCCCCCGGAAGTTTATGGGGTTCAACCGGTGAGAGCCAAAACCCCCGACGCCGAAACTCCCAAGGAAAGTTGAACCTCTTCGCCGATGCCCGCGCTGAACTTTTGTAGTACCAATTGATAAACTGTCCGGATCTCCGGTTCGTGGGCTAGGGATTCTGTGTTCAAATGCGGAGGAACGATAGGTACATAATAGTTCATCCATATAGCCCAGAATTGACTAAGTTCTGGTTATATGGTAGTCGCTGTCGGGGCGCTGTCAACTCTCCACAGAGGCTCTCATTCTACGGGAGACAAGAGGGACTGGATGGCACAGGTATATACAGGTTTGATCGTGTTCTCCCATTCGCTAACTAGTGGTCTTCTCCTCGCTCGCAATACCAAAAGATCTATCTATATCATAATACAAGGTGTAATGCTTAGTCAAAGCTGATTGTGTGTTGTTCTCAGACGATGCAATGAGCCTCAAGGCGAGGATGAGCTGAACCTTGCATCATTACTGGTCTTTCGAACCAAACGGGGGGGGACACAGACATATAACTGCTCAGACAGCCCAGTTGTCGCCCACAAGCTACTGGGTGGAACAGCCCCCTAGGTTCGTTTTCAGATACGGGACTCGGTAGTTGTGCTGCAGTATCCACTCTCGCTCGATCACTCGATTCATCTGTTGCTCATACGCTTGTCGGTGTAGAAGATGATTGTTCCGGCGGGTCAGATCTTGATAGGTGAATCTTTTGCTCCGCTCATGCGCCATGGCCGTCTTGCCTCTGCCTTGGGGTCGAAGCGTGTGGTGGTCCCAAGTCCACAGAACAGGACCATCGACATGCCGGTACCATTGCTCTTCGTCGCCGACGAGACCCGAACCAAAATCGAGCCACATGGTAACAATGAAAGCATCACCGTCGCTTCCACAAGGAACCAGGCGTGCCTCGAAGTCCATCGCACACACAGGACAGCGATAGTATACGGGACGAGGGTACCTGTGTAGTATATGATTAGGGCCGCGATTGTCCTTTACAAGGAAGCTTGCGTCTCTCATGTCATTGACAAATAGATGGTTACAAAATGGAAATCTAGGCATTGGAATGCAAGCGAGCTCGCCCAAGACACAGGTTTGTATGCGAAGGCACAAGCGGGGCCCCGGAAGTATCTCCGCGTCGGCCGAAAATAATCTTGTCCCAGCCGTGGTCGAGCCCCGATTTACCTGAATGTAGGACAGCCATTCTGTAGGTACCCCATGCTCAGGCCCATCATAATACCTCTTCATGGCCAATTGAAGGTGAATGAGCCTAAATCGATAGACGACAGTATGGAGCGCATCATTTAGCGAAAGGGCCCAGGAAGAGTCGTCTGAAAGTAGACCGTGTTTGCCATCGAGTTTCCGCGGGTGCGTTAGCGATGCCGGGGAACCAATAGACTCCCTTAAGTGTAGACTGGAGCACGAGGTGCAGTGGACGTACTGCGGTAGGTTGCGAGCGAATAGAGCGAGAAATGCTGTTCTAGAGACACCAGTTGGGGGTGCAAAAGATGGGCGTCTCATGACAGCACGTAGATGCTTGCTACAGAGCGAGAGCAATGCTCTCTCGTGAGGCCGTAGGAAGTCGGCTATCGATAATATCAATTCTACTGGAAGGTTGTCAAGGCGAAGGTGAACAACAAAGACTGGAGCCAAAGGATTGAAACTGAGTGATAGACCACAGTTAGTCATTCGATTCAGACGTCTGTGAAGTCTCCAGGGCTTTGGTAGATCTTCTTTGTTGAACTGAAGCTTGGTCGGTGGGAAACTTTGTGGGGGCTTACTTGCCGAAAAGCATGGTTCGAGGGAGCAGACATCGCGGAGGTCGAGCTAAATTAGGTAATGATGTCTTGGGTATGACAGCTAGAAATAAGAGATATCCTGGTTATAAAAGCGACAGTGAGGAGCACCAGATTGTAGCGAATATCCTGGCAGGCAAGTCTCGTAGGGTCGTAATGATGATACTAGGCACAAGGTAGTAGTCGGTGACTGCCTCTAGCAGTATTCAGGGAGCGCAGTCGAGGAAAGCGCGCAGCAGCAATAGCGCACTGGTCCATGGTAGTTTCCTTTGAGGTTTTCTGCGCGCATGAGTTTGGTGCTTCATCCATAGTGTGGAAGGAGCTGGCTTAAAGGGTCTATGCTGGTACCGGTAGATCATCCAGGGCAATAGGCTTGAGCCCCCTCATCCCTTAACAAGTAGCCTTTGTACAGGTAAGGCTAAGAGCAATGTCATGAGTGTGAGACAAAGAGATCTCCAAAGATCAGAGTGACTCTTTTCTAAAAGTTGAACCATGTGGCAGACGGCCAAGACTGCCAGGTGAAGTATAGCTGAGGCTAAACCGCGACGGTCAGCGGCGGCAGAACGGAAGGTGGGTCTGGCGGATCACCATGGATTCCACCCGATCTACAAAGACAACAACAACTACTTACCTTCAACAACACTCAACTCACCAACGAACAATCATGGTGGCATCATTCGTGCCATCAATTCTACGCCCTGACTACACGTGGCCTTGTCAGCCTCCTTTGACAGTCTCCCCAATCACACCTTCAGTACCTCGTGTTTCTTGGAAACCCATCAGAGTAGCATGGGGCCTCGTGCATAGAGCGTTACGCTACTTCTCCCAGTGGTACTGCCACTGGTTCGGGATCCGTTTCGACTACAACATCATCCCACTACCTTTCGGACTCTTGATAAAATGGACAGATCGCAGCAGCGTCGAGGAAGCCATTGCCACACAAATGGCAAGAGCCGCTGGAATGCCCGTGCCTAAAGTTCTGAATTATGGCGAACAACTTTACCCCGACTACAACCGAAAAGTCTCCATTGTGATGACTCGCCTCCCGGGAATAGAGTTGAACAACTGGGAGGATAAGGAATATGATCCTGATAGCGAGGAGCCGTGGCTACAGGAGCTGAAGACATGCGTGCAGACCATGCGCTTGTGGACGCCCCCTTCCTCACGCCGAAACTGGGTCTCATCAGCGATCGGAACATGTTTACGAAGCCAGCGCATTCCCCATCATATCATGGGACCATTCACAGATCAGACGCAGTTGCACGACTTTCTGCTGTCCACAGCCTCAAATCATACTTTCAAATCACAGGCCGAGTTTGAGAAAGTCCTGGCCACGGCGAAGAAATTGGATCAACGAAAGTATAGAATGGTTTTCAGTCAAGGTGACTTGAAAGCTCATAATATCCTTGTTGGTGATGATGGTCATCTAACTGGGTTTCTCGACTGGGAGTCTGCGGGCTGGTATCCGGAATACTGGGAATTTACTACGGCTATGCGATTTGGGAGGAATAGCTGGTGGTTCAGGGCAGTTTCTTGGATTGGAGGTTCCGAATATCTTGAGGAACTGGATTATGATCGTGCTGTAAACAACCTGACAGTGGATTCTTATGTCTTTTTCTAGGACAACGGGTGCTGAATTTCCAAGGCGCCTGTTCATCAGCTTGCGTTTCGGTACACTATTGATTTGCATCTTCGAAAATTATCCTTGGAAACTACTGTGCCTGGCTGTGCCTGGCGTACCATGTATGCAGACTTGATCGAGAAGGCTGTCAAGGAGACCTTTCTATATTAGGCTATTGCTACGTACTTTTCGACAAGAAATTAATTACAGTTAATACCCAGCGTGAAACTAAGATGAAAAGGCAAAGCAGCCAAGTTATGATCACCTAAAAGTGTCGTTCAGCGCGGCAAAAGCTCTGTACTGCGTGCTCCTCTGAGAAGAGTCCGCAATAGTCACACTTCAAAGACACACGCACGACTTGACAATTGGACGTGACTAGCGAGAGTTTACAGCCTCAACCATGTAACCGTTCCCCACTGACAAGCACTCCGCCTCCAGGTCCTTGACACTGCTGCAATGCACAATGCTCTTGTCCATGAGCTTCTGTGTAATCGCCAGCACCCAAACGCGGCAAGTAATACCATGCATCGCATTCAGATTTTCATCGTAGGACCTCATGATTGGATCGATTTGAGCGACTTTATCGCCAGGGACGCGTGCGATCTGGTTAACAACACAAAGAAGATTAGACTTCAAGAGGCCCCCGGTTCTGCCGTGATCCGCAAGCCAGCCCTTGCCATCGGTGCTGGGGTTTTTCACATGATACTTGAAGCCACCGGAGTAGTCAGTATGAAAATAGAGACCCCAGTGAAAGTCGTTGGCGATGGGAGGGTCGGTGCGAACATAGAGCACGACGTAGAGAGTGTTGAGCGGGAGACCGGCGAGGATCTCGTTCTGGACCTTTCTGACGGCCGCGGCTTTTTCAAAAGGTTTCAATCCAGAGAAGTCGCTTCTGTAGCCCTTGGTCAGGTCCTCCATGCTTGAACGGTCTGACCAGACTGAGCGCAGTGCGCGGGTTTTTGAGGAATGATCGGACGGATTCCTCGCTTGGGGTGTAGATTAAAGGGCTTAGAAACGCTTGATAGTAACCCTTTTGCTTGTCTAGATGAGTTATTAGCAAATGCATATCTCCAGTCCTGCCATGAAGAACACGTACTTTGATCTTGGTAACGTGTTTCTTCCACCCCTCGGTTGAAGCAACCTAGGAGGGTGTGCAAGAGATCTTCAACTAGGATGTTGTGAACAATCGCGTCGCGTCAAAGCCCAGCTTCGTATGAGTGATACTAATATCCAGAGACGGTGTATAGTGTTGTGGTAAAGGAAGGAAGTATTGGGGGGGGGGGGAGACAGGATAGTGCTGAGTACTGAGCCAACGGCATTCATTGAATGACCGAGTTGCTGAAGTGACAGTGATTCATTCTGTGTTACTCTTACAGCCATATTACACATTCACTGAAGACCATCTTTTGCTGTGAATTTCTCCGAGCTGGACACCAACCCTACCCCTTGCCCTGACCAGATTCATTCTCATTTCTCATGATTATACAACATAGCTAGTCCTTTGATGTTTTGATTAGTGCCATACTAGAGATGAAGCGTATATTTCTCAACAAAGGACCCTTCAACACGTGAAATTTGGTCTGCGAATGCCTAAAGTTGTTTATTATGGGCAATATCCGAGCCCATTGCGCTTTGATTCTTCAGCGGGCTACGGACCGGCATTGGACGGTGCAGCGCGACTCGGCGCAGCGGTCGGACTTCAAAGGTGATAAATTCTAACAAAATACTAAGAATTGTAATGACTACATAAATGTCGTTGTAGGAGGATTTATCACTTTGAGAATCAAAACATCTATCAGTCTATATCAATGCTAAATACATTGCAGTATGCTGAGTTGGCTGCTCTTCATGGTGTTTGGGCTGTTTGCACGAAGAACTCATGGCCTATCCTCTACTAGTTGTATAATGATGGCAGTGATCCTAGAGCTTTAACCTCGAAGACTGCAGTGCGTTCTTTTCAAAACAGCAGTCGAGGATATGTACAGTACTACCAAGGGCTGAGAACGATTACATTCGGAGTTGGAATGATGACCCCGAGACAAAATTTGTGTCTTGAGTGTTGAAAAAGATTCTGGCCCGTAAGGTATTCCGGAGGAAATACTTTTGGTCGCCCTGTCCACCGCCTTATCAGTCACAGATACGATTCCTCAGACGGGTATTCATCCTCGGAATCTCAATCGAGAGGAAGCTAACTGAAATGTTTCAAGGTATGACATACGACTACCTTCCTGAGCACGGAAAATACGGTCGAAAGTCCTAACCATCAAGTCGGACCCACAGGCGGCTGGGGTAGCTTTGCAGGGCAAATTTAACCCGAACAGGTCTGGTTGGGTAAAGAAGTCATGCTGTGCAGTCAGCAAGTCAGCATCTACTGAACGGTGACCATTATGAGTGAGCATCACCTAACGACAGCCTTGTATGTCAAAGGGCTACCTCTTGTTCCAGCTGCTAAGGCTACCATTGCTCATGTCGTTGAGACTCTAGCAGTGCGCATCAACCTTAGCAGATCAGTCACCACATTAAAGTGTACCAACTTTCGCAAGGAAGCTTTTTTTTCCAATCAGCCACTTATGCTTCTTAAACCGGCTTCGGCCTCTAGCATGTCAATCATGCCCGAGAAAAGCTTAGGCTGATCAATGATCCGGGTATTGTCTTTTCCCTCCATCATGCGACGATCCGAGCAAGGGACCATGCGTCCATGACACCGCGGGGTAATTCGGCCTTCAAGCAACTTTTCTCGTGCAGTATACTATTCCAAGTCTCTTCGTCCGGGTCTATAGCAGAAACCGGCTTTAATTGCCGTTCATGGACAAGGCGGATGTTCTCCGCAAGAATTTCCCGCCCTCCGCAACCCCACATTGCCGGCAAAATATGGTACCATCCGCAAAATCCCTTGTATACTGACTGCGTTCAAAACAAGGATCTGTCTGAAATGGCGTTGAGCTTAGGACCGGTATGTCATGATGTCGGCCTATAAAGAAGGGTCCTACTTCCATGTTCGTTTTCGTCGTTCTATCCTACTTAGCATAGATTGCATCTATCATTCTGCCATAGGTCTGTCCTAGCGTCATGAGGTATTCTACTATTGGGCTTCTCGGCTTGGCCACTCTGGCATCAGCCAGTGCGGAAGACCCATACTATGCGAATTTGACATGGGAAGCCCCGCGCACCTTGTCAGACTGGTCAAACTTGACTATCGAGACGCACACGGGAACTTTCATTGGCATGCTCAATGATACCTACCCCAATGTTCGACAATTCCTTCGAGTTCCATATGCACAGGTATGCTTTACCTTTCTCGGACGGTTCTCATCCCGCATGTTGATTTCATCTTCTCCAGCCTCCCGTTGGGGATCTACGTTGGATGCCTCCTCAGAAGCCGCATAGGTCCAAGAAGCGGATCGATTCTACATTTTATGGCCCAGGTAGTCTTCTACTCACGAGATTTGTGGCTTAGAATGTACTCACATTCTTGACAGCTTGTCCTCAGTACGTGACTGCGCCAGCCAGTATCTGGAACACCTACGAACCCCCAAATTTGCTGCTCAACATCGGCGAGAAATTGGATCAAGGCTCCACTGCCTGGTCATCGGCCGAAGACTGTTTATCAATGGCGATCTGGACGCCTGCTTCAGCTAATCGCACTTCTAAGCTCCCGGTGGCATTGTTCGTAACCGGTGGCGGCGGTATCACTGGTGGAATTGATATTCCCTCTCAGCTGCCAGCACATTGGGTCTCACGATCTCAGGAGCACATTGTGATTACAATCAATTATCGATCAAATATCTTCGGGAGTGGGTTGATCCTACTATAAAGAGAGACATTGGACTTACCTTGTTTGCAGATCCCAAATCCCGGGCATTGAATGAAACCTCTTTGACTTTGCTAGATGTCAGAGCGGCAGTTGAATGGGCCTACGAGAACATCGAACACTTTGGAGGAGATGCTGAGAACATAATGGTATGGTTCTTGAGATCACTATCTACTAGATCTAATCTGATTGGACAAATAGCTGTGGGGTCAATCGCAAGGAGGTATCTTGACGCACCTGTATACTCTCGCATTTCCCGACAACCCTCTCGCAGCCAAATTCGGAGTGATCTCGCAAGGTGCATCGGCCACCCTGGACCTTACAACAGCCGGTGATGTTTATCAAGACTTTGACATTGTCGCCAAGGGGCTCGGGTGTAATTATGGAGAGGACTACGAAGCCGAACTCGAGTGTATGCGGCAGATTTCTTGGGTGCAGATTGAGGAATACATCAACCGTTACAACGCCACGCCTTCGATTGCCTTTACTAACTATATTCGTAAGTCCGGCTCCCTTACCTTTTGGCTCTCGAGCTAATCCTGCGTACAGCCGACGAAAGATACATCTTTTCGAATGAGACCGAGCGATATCTTCAAGGGAAGGTTGCTTCGGGACCGTCGATTCGATCCGACACCGCCAGGGAGTTTCCGGATCAGAACAGTACATACGTTGCCGAAGAAGAAGGAGAGTCTGACTGCCTTGCACGTTCTGACTCGGAGCTTCGGGCGTCCATCGGCCTTGACACCTACCGATATTATTGGGCCGGCAAGTAGACGTTCGTCACCCTAGGTAAATGCTCTTGGGCTAAACATTGTCTTCCCGCAGGAAACTTCAGCAACATCAGCCCCGTCCCCTGGCTTGGCGCCTTCCACTGGACTGATCTCTTCATGATATTCGGTACCTACATGCTGGATGTCGGTAACATCACCGAGCTCGAGGTCAAAACCTCTGAAACAATGCAGGACTTTTTCCTAGCATACCTCAAAGATGCCTCCACAATCAATACCACTGTAGGATGGACTGCGTTCAACGGCAGTGCGCCGGAAGGGGGCGTTATACTTGAGTTTGGCAAGGATTTTCCTGTTCGAAATGTCACTGGAGACTGGCTAGATGGTGGCTGTTGGAATTCCTCGATTCCCTTCCGGATTGATGGGTAGGGCAGCAATTTTGCGAGATGTTACCTGCGAAGCCTCCTCCCGATGTACTAGTCCTGCAACCCGGCGTCTGAGTGAGAAGCGATTGTTGAAACCCGGTCGATGCCCTGTGTCTTCATGTGTTTGATAATTAGATGGGTAAATTCTTTGTAAGGGTGGCTCAATGATACATCTTATTCTGCTAACAGAACTGTCGTGTCGGGCTTCTGCCTTGACCTTTGTGTAAACTGCTGGATTCACTACGTAGAGGAAATGTGAGCGAGGCTTTGGTAGTGTTAGGCGGGAGAAGGCGCTTGCCCCTTTTCGACAATGAAGGACTCCTGTTATGATTCATATCACATGGAAAGAGTTGTCTCCTTTGACTTCTTTCTCTCACTGTCACCACAATCCTGACAAACTGGCACTGATTACTATCTGCATATCGATCGATGCATCCCGATTGTGTATGCTTAGCTACCCCCAAGCAGTTGAATCAACATTACATCCTCGTTTCGTATCAACGTTGTTCTTTGAAAAACGGACGGACTGAGCTGCAGGCTGTTGAAATTTACAGTTCTGCAGCTGGTTGCCTGGAACATTAGGCTCCCGTGAGAATCTGAACACGCACTGTGGGCTTATAAGAAGGCGAAAACAACGACAAAAGTCGATACACTGTTGAATCGTTCATGCAAGCGAGAGACCTAATTCCATCAACAAGAACATATACACGCTCAACCTGATCACGCTGGCAAAGATGGCTCGACTCACAGATCTCCCGACCGAGATCATACTTCACATAATCTCTTACCTACAGTCCTACGACGACATTGCGGCGTTGGCTGCACAGTCTTCCCATCTTTACGAGTCGTGTGATATGAGGGCCCGTGCAAGATTCCGCCAGATCTGCATCACAAACAATGCCAAGCATCTTGAGAGCGCCTTCGCGGCCCTGATCGACATCTTGAAACAGCCGTATCTAGGCCGCTATGTGCGTCATATTGGGTACTGGGAGTCTGTGACGAAGATCTACAAGGACCCAACCTTCTGCGAATTCAATACGTCATCACCAGCTGAAGAACACATGAGGATGATCCGAGCTGCGATCTACAGAGCAGGATTTCCAAGCAACCTGATTGAACGCTTGGCCACGATAGTCAAGTTGATCTCCGGAATCACCTCTCGCAGGGAGTATCATTCAACGAGTCATCCAGCCAATCATGTAGCCAGGTCAGCGGGTCCCCTTCCTTGAGCTGCAATCATTTCGATGCTTACCCTTAACCAATTCTAGGCTTTTTCATTGCCATGAGCCCCTTCTCGCGCAGGTTTTGACAGCACTTGTAATCTCTGTGGCACCGGAGGTAGAGTCTATGGCCCTCTCCCAACCCTTTCTCAGCAAGATTGCCGTACCTTGGCATACAGACTCCATCGACTGCAAGCGTATGAAATTCCCTTTGCAATGGCTTCTGCACCAAATCAACAACAATGACGCGTTCCCGGGTGCCCCGGGGCCGAAGCTCCTGAGAAAGCTTTGGGACGTGTACTTGATCAACGAGACGGAGGACGACACATCCTGGAGAGAGGATCGAGTCTTTTTCAAGACGGACCTCTTTGGCTTCATAGATCTTTTTCACCGTCTTCCATCGATTGAGTCGTTTGGCACGGATGAGCTGAAAGCCAGCGTCGTTGGTAAGCACGGGCTCCCCTTTGCCTCTTCGACTATCTCCCGTATCCGGATCGAGCACTCGTTGGCCGACAGCATGAACTTGGCAAGAATTATATGTCTATGCAAGCAGCTTCGAGAGTTTCGATGCCCCATTGGGGGTAGATCAATCGGCGGCAACCTTGCCTATAGGCTGACCTCATTTCGAACTATCTTCCAAGCGCTTCTGGTCCACCGTAAAACCTTGGAGGTTCTAGATTTAGGCGTCGCATACATACCTTTCAAGTCAAAAACGGTAGAGCGAGTTCCTCTTGACCTCAGTGAGAATCGCGAAAAGCGCGAACAAATGCAATCAATCCGGATTGCGAATGAAATGGCTTTGGCCGATAGGTCAGTGCAGCTGCCGGACTGGATTTGGGACCAGACCGGTTCGTTGGCCGACTTCTCCGCCTTGAAGCACTTGGATCTGGAGCTTCAGTACCTGCTGTATATGACGAGGGGCGTAGGAACCGCGAGGGACGATGAATACCAGCTCGCTGATCGGCTGCCGCCCCAGTTGGAGCATCTCCTCATCGGCGAATATGTGAGAAATCAGAACGTGGAGTTTGACAAGCAGGTAGATTCGTTGAAGTTATTGAAAAGAGAGCAGCGTTCAGCAGCCTGAAGACCATTCTGGGAATTGATGAGACAATCGCGGCGATCCCGCAATCTGAACAGCCTGGGTTAATTGCACATGTGCGTCGGTTGATAGAGGACGTGGATGAATCGGAATCGGAAGAAGAGGAGTTGGAGCCACTCATCTTTGATCTGAATATCAGTGATGATCTCTCAGATTTGTTCGAGCAAATGGACACACTCAATGCACTTCTGTGCCAAGGATGCTTCGAGTGGTGCGAGTGATCTGGCGATTATCTAGGTCTGGGAAGGAAAGCATTTTGACCTAAGCGATACCCATGTACTGAGTCACACAAGGCGCACCAGACTGTTGTTAATTTCTGCCATAGTACCAAGAATGAATGGAATTTCCTTTTCTTTGAACCATAGTCCAATGCCCTGATTCGTTATTGTACTTCGACTGCTCTGCAGATGTCTGGTCCAACCCTTAAGCTTTGCAGCCCTGACCCACGGGTACCGTACCCGTACCTGAAACAGTGGGCCCTGGCCCGTGCGCGCGCAACCCGACAGATTCTTTTCTTACCGCCATACAGCCACCGTAGGGGAACATCGACACGACACAAAAAGAACACCGGAAGGTAAACCACAAAAATGAATCCTCTGCGCTACCTCGCTCCTCCGACGCCCTACAAGGAGCTCTCCACGACCAACAAGAAGGGCCTGAAGGAGCGCCTCAGCTACGCTGAGGCCCTGGAGCACCATCCGGGCCTGCAGCTGTCCGCCGAGCAAGCCGAGCTCCTGCACACCTACCAGCAAGCATGCGAGGCACTCCTCGAGGACCCGGGCAATGTCAACGCGGCCATGCGCATGATGCAGTACGAGCAGTCGCTCGAGCCCAGTACCGGGAGCCTGAGCAACCCCGCCGCCCCCGTCAACCTCTCGTTCGACCTCGCCACCAAGGTCAAGCTCGGCGAGGAGCTCGACAACCTCTACAGCGTCTGGGCCGTCACGCGGTACCGGAAGTACTTGCCCGCGGGCATCCAGGAGGAAGCCGCCAAGCACCCGTCCGCCAAAACCGCGGACCCGTGGCACGCGGCTTTCTGGACGCCCTTCCACGGGCGGCTGGAGGCCGAGGCCGCCGCGTTCGCCGCCGTCCTGGTCGGCGAGAACCGCCATAATGAGTGCCCGACTTCGATCTTGTTGATGCTGCTCTGCGACCGCCACACGGTCGACTGGGACGAGACGCGCGCGCTGATCCGCTACGCGGCTGCGGGCGCCGAGGGCGTGATCGAGGGGCTGCCTGAGAGCGACTTCGGGGAGTTGCTGCGCACGAAGGACGTGGCCGGGTTGGCGACGCGGTTGGCTCGCGATGAGTCTGGGTGGAGCTGCTCGACGGAGTATGTGTTGGGCGTCAGTACGCTGCTGATGGGGTTCTTTGCCAATACCCTGGCCGATACGCTGTTCGAGACCGAGGAGGAGCTGATGGATCCGACTAAGTGGGAGCCTAAGAAGGTGCTGCGCGAGCGGCTGGCGTTGGCCGATGGCCATGAGCAGGCGTTCCGGGAGTTGTTGCAGGAGATGTATGTGCAGATGCTCGTGGGGTCGGATGATGAGGATGAGGCCGGGTTCCCCGGGTATGACGATTTCGATGATCTGGATGATGATGAGTGGGAGGAATTTGAGGGGGATGTGGAGGAAGGGGAGGAGGATGATGATGGCGATGAGTCGGATGAGTACTAGTGCCAGCTTGATGCCTGAGGATGTTGGTCCTGTAGAAATACTCTGCGAAATCTATAGATTGGCGATCACGAAATATCTCTCCGTCTTAGTACTTATACTCACATAAATCAACCATTCAAGTCATCAATCTCATGGACTCAAACCCGTGTCGCCCACATTAACCCTTCAATGAGTCCTAGCCCACCCTCAGACAGTTGCTACAATCATTCATCAGAATCAAAATCATCAATCTGCCTCCAATCCAATACCATCCCCCTCGCCGGCGGCCACGCCTCCACAAACCCCTCCGCATAATAGATCTCGTGCTCCTCCGGCCACGAATGCACCAGCATTGTAACCTCCGTGCTTCGGAGGGCGGCCTCTTCCTCTGTGTCCTCGCCTTGCCCGCCCATCCCCAAACCGATCACATACTCGCGGATCTTCTCCCGGAGATGCGCCACGATCACGTTCCCCAGCTTCTTGTACCTGTGGTCCGCTGCGATGAGCAGGTCCGTCAGATGGAAGGTGTAGATCCCGTCGCTGATGAGGCGGGCCATTGCGACCACTTCTCCGGTTTCTTGGGTCTCTGGGTTGGTGGTGGGATTGTCGGGGGTAGTAGGTGAAGCTGAAGCTGAAGCTGGTGCCGTGTAGGTGATGTAGCAGCCGTACCAGCTTCCCTGGAGGGCGGATTCGGCTTGTTGGGCGGTTGGTGATTGCGGGTGTTCTTTGGTGCGGCGGAGGTGGAGGTAAGATTCCACGTCGGGGTAGCCCTGGTGGAGGGTGTAGTTTGGAGGGAGGACGGCGCGCATGTTTTGAGGTGCGCCAGGGGTTGTAGATAGCGCTTGGATGAGGTTAGATCTGAGAGTGGAGGGTGGAGTCGTGATATTTGTTGCGATCGTGGTTGTGGTTGTTGTACTATGATAGAAGTATGTGTTGTGGAGAGAGATGTGGGGGTGAGAAGGAGATGGGGAAGTGAGAAGGGAGAGGGGAAGTAAATTATGCAGGGGCCGAAGGTTTTGTTGTTCTCTACCTAGTAGGCTACCGTGCTGCTGGGCGACATGCATGATTGGAGGGGTTGTTCACTTAGACTTTAATTCCTCCCACGGTTCGAACCTATGCTTAATTGGTGTCGTTTGACCATCCTCAAGAAATATTAGAACCACGGTAAATCTGTCATATGTCCAACATAGATTGCATGAATAGCACTATTCTCCTGTACATGCCAGCTGCATCTACCTACGGAGATTGTCTGGTAGCCGTGAGATGCTTGGAGGTGTCAAGGGCCAACTGCGCCCATACCATTCGCAAAAGCACGCAGGTCCTCTCATCTCCATACAGGTCCCCAGAAATCATTGGGGCCTTGGTAGGCTGACTCAAACTTCTGACAACGCGGATGTTCAAAGTCGTCCCACGATCCCTGAGGCCAGATTGGGATCTGGCAGAACTCGTCATCATGACAGCCGCGGCACTCCTTCCATACTGTCCAGCTCAAATAGTCCATCGTAGATCGCAGAGTGTCGACCGCGGCATCATATTCTTTCGTCTCCAGGACTTCGACAAACGAAGCGCAGATTCGACTGCTGACAGTATAAACGGCACGATAAGCAAGCGAGTCATTAGCAGCATCAGTGGGGATGAACTGAGTTGCGCATCTCTCCATTTCTTCGCCAATATCCCTGTTATCCTGATCAACGAATGTATTCCATATGCGCGCAGCTTCTGCATTTAGAGAGAACAAGCCGTGATGATAGTGGTGTCTTGATGCCAGCTCACGCAGCGGGTGGCTGTACTTCTGAACAATCATATCAGTGATCGCTTGCCAGTTCACCTGTCTGTGTCTGACATCAGGCGCCATCACGAGGGATGTGAGGCTCTCGCGGATGGGTTCTAACTCTGCAAATGGTAGGTGATTGAGTCGTGGGGCAGTGCTGTCGTCTGGAAACAGATTCAGAGAATAGTTGTAAGCCGTTACGAAATGATCATAGTTCAAGACCACCCGTTCGCCGCCAATGCCATTGTACCTGGCCCTCATCACTTGGAGCACCTCGGTCGGTTTCCCTCCTTTCTTTTCATTGCCCCCTGCTCTCGGGTTCGAAGACCTCACTCTCGCCACATGAACGGGCTCCAGGTTCTGTTCCGAGTTGCAGAGAATCACCTCGAACCCTGAAGCCAGCCGAATAACTCCATCCACCCGATCGTTCCACTCCTCCCTCGCAATCCGACACACGGCCTCTGCACGCGCATTCTCCTGCAATACGCCACCATTGATCTCATCTTCAAATAACACCCGGTCCTGCAGGTCGAGAGTCCCGATCTTGGACTTTCCGGCTGACATCCCATCGATATAAATGAGGCGAAGATTCTTGGCCGTGGTGTAGGTGTGGAGCCATCCACCGTTGTCTTCCCCGGCTGATCCATTTTGATCCCCGCCCATCACTTGCTGAGAGTCAGATGACAGTTTTGGAGGTGTCTCGGATCGTTTCGGCCCCGACCGTGCGAAGGCAAATGCGTGCTCGGGGTCGAAGGCCAGCCATCGGACTCCGGTAATGTGCTCTGGATGGCCGTCACCGTGGTAGAGTTTGGTTCCCTCTGACATTTCTGCCAGGAAGAAAGACATGCCGTTGTGGTTGAGTGCCGAGCCCCATTGTCTCATGGAGGAGTGGATGGCGTTGAAGATATGGTTGGCATTCTGGACAGGTTCGGGGGGAGCGCTGTCAGCGGCAAGAGAAGAGGCGGCAGCTCCTATGGCGGAGATCAAGGCGAGAATGCAGGATCGATGCATTTTATTATCTCTGAGAGGAGTAAAATGTGTTGATCGGTGCGACACATTTGGCTGGAAAGATGTGCCTTTATCTGGAATAAGGGAGTCGATGGCAGACACGCAATGCATGCATAGACATTACCTGATCGGGAAATTCAGGCCGAGGGCCTGGAGGGATGTTCAGGCGCCTAGGCACCCAGGCACACCAGTCCTGCTCGTCATCTTCCTCGACGCGTCATCCGGTCTCTCACCACCTGCTCGCACAAGCAAGATTGCGATACCATGGTGTCCAGTCTTGCATCCGCCATGATTTCTCATTTGATGGCTCTTTATGGCCTTTCTCTTCAAGTACTTCCAAACTATAACTGTTCACCTTCCATGTAACAACAAGCCAAGGGATTTGATGAGAGCGTTGCACCGCTCAGCTAAAAGAGATGTCAAGATACTGATCTCGCCGATCGTTCGCTCCAAGAGATGCTGAATCCTGTCAGAACTACCATTCACCACTTCTTTTCTAGTCACTTCAACAGCTTCGTCGAAGTCACCCACGACGCAGCTAGCCGGCTCTGTCAATTATTGCCACGATGGCTAGAGCGCACCTGTGACCTCCTCTGTGGCCTCCTCTGTGACATATGAAAGAAAACCCCCTAATGATGACAGTCCATAGGAGTTGTAGGACAATCCGGCGGTAAGTGCCAGGCTTAATTCGAAAGGTATTGGCAAGACAGACTATTTCTTTCATCCCTAAGAGCCTTCTTTATTGCTCTTCCCAAACGAAGTTTTATGAGAAGGCTCCGTTCTTCGTTCTCGTTCAGTGGCGCACAAACCTCCTCCGGAAGCGTGGAATTGATTCTCTCGGTACCCGACTTGCCATGGCACCAAGCAGTGGGTAAGCCCCAGGTCTGATTGATAATTTCGGGAGGCAAGTTCTTCGAAAAGGCTTGGCCCCGGTTCATGAGAGTCTACGGCTCCATCTGCGCGGAAGCGCTATGCTGTGAAGTGTGGGACATCTTACAAACTACAGTGAAGTGAGCATCGGAATCAAGCGTCTGAATGGCGAGGTTGGACCCCATCATCCCGGAAATTCCGTGGTGTTCAGGTAAAACTATCGGAGCATCAATTGTACACTCTGGCTATCGACCTATCGGAGAGAGTGTGATGAGGAGATAGTGAGTTTTCCCTCTTCCTACTTTGCTTCGGCGCTCGAAGTAGCACAGTAAAGATGTATCCTAGTCTCGTATCAACTAACGTCTGCAGAAATCTATTTCTCTTCGCCGTATACTCAAATGACCTTCCTAGTCGAGGACGCTTGCCGAAAACCGGCACCAAAAAAGCCTCCGTGCAAGCCATGACTCACAATGCAAGCGATGCCAAGAATACCCGAGCCACTTCATCAGTCGCCTGATGGATACATGAGGTCGTTGCCGGAACTACGCGCACATCTCCCGAAAGGGACGTAGCTTGCGAGGATGGGACCCGAAAAAATCAAGCAACCGACGGAAGTGGGCCGCCAAGAAACTCGGGGGTTAGAATCGGACACCACTGCCAAGATCCTGTATACGTCGGCCCAAGGGTCTTTCTAGCCAGTGATACGGTGCTTGATCGCATGCTAAGTGGATCTTATCAGATTGATCAATTGTTCCACGCTCCGAATTATCAATCAGGCCTTGCTTCCACAGGGGTGTGGCATCTTGTGGGTCTTCGGGGAATTTTGTCCTAGACAAGACAGAACCTTCTATGCTTTTCGCCCCGTCAAGGAGTTGGTGTCAGGAAAGGCAATCTCTGCATGCGCCTAACGGGACAAGTACGAAATTGACGGAGAATAAGCCGCCACTATTGGCTTTCGACTTGTGGTTCTCTCTCGTCGGCTATATGTCCCAAAAGATGTCTTAAATGGCGCTACACATATCGCACTGGAGCCCACGAGTCCGATGAATGTGAACCTACATGCCTGACCAAATGCATGGGTCCAGATGCTCCAAGCCAAGAAGGCATTGTTCAATGATCAAGTGGAGATTGATAACTGGTTCGCTGGAGATAGCTCGATTCCCTCCGGTGGGTTCCGCCACACCTGTGTAATGAGCATGCTCGAATAGGACCCTCATTGCGAGAAAGTGGGTAGGTCCAATTTGAGGATTCTGTGCGATATAAAGATTGACTTGATGCCCGGACTACGCTGGTCTCGGGAGTATCCTGTCTATCATCCGGCAAAATGAGAGTGACGAGTACACTTCTCTTGATCCTCGCCTGGACGGGCGTCCGCGTCCTGGCAGAGGGGTTTACTATGTCTGCCCCCGAGCTTGCAGACTACTGCTTCTATGCTATATACGAGTCTCTGGGCTCCTACACTTATGCAGGTGCCACTACATCCACCTCAACCTCAAGCGACTCGTCAACTTCTCAGAGCTCTTCTAGTTCAACCTCACATGGCTCCTCCTCCTCAAGTGCCGTCGTCACAACATCACATGGCTCCTCGAAACGGGCATTCGCAAAGAGAATGGCTAGACGTGGTCATCATGGTAGTTCTTCTACTGGAGGCTGCACGAGCACAGTGGGTGCCATGTCCTTGTATGCCAGTGCGAAGGCGTGGTGTAACAAGAAGCAACTGGAAGCCACCATTCCTTACTGGCAAAGCCTGTGTGAGCAGAACAGTGCTACTTTGATTGATCTGACTGATATCGTTGCCAATACCACCGATTCTTATATCGCATCTTTGCCAACCGTCGACCCAGAGGCCAATAGCACGACGACAACCGGCACTATTGAGAGTCCAGTCTTGCTTAGCCACTCATACTACAAACGAGCATACAAATCTTATGTATGTGATCCTTTTCTTGAAGTGATCCTGATGAAGCATTAACCAGGCAATAATAGGTCACCCACGACTATGCACTGAGCAAAGACAAACGTTATGGCTGGGGTCTTATGGGCTACTGGGGTGGAATACTGGCTCTCGGCATGATCGTCAAGGCCTGGAAATCCTTCCGAGCCCATGTTAATGGCCCCAGACGCGGCGATTCTGAGAAGAGTGGTTTCTATGCGGCTGGCCGCAACTCCTGCGCGCCGGTGGCTGCAATTACCCACTTCATCCGGACTCACTTTGTCATTCCTGCCAGCTTTGCCCCCAGCCTTTCCAATCACCAGCAGCTCTTCTGGTTCCACACTATCCCGAAACGGTTGGATCTTTTGATCGTCTTTGGCTGGTGGGTGGTGTGTATCATTCTGTCCTGTGTTGACTACCAGAGCTTCCGCGGCAATATTCAGTACGTTTGTATCATAATTTGGCAGATTTACGTCTAACAAACAATTAGGACGCCGAGTCTACACCAACAAAATTGGCAATACTCGTCTGATCGTACGGGAGTTCTGTCTTACGCCTGTCTTCCATTTCTTTGGCTCTTCGGTGGACGAAACAACATCTTCCTTTGGGCAACAGACTTCAATGTCCAGTCTTTCAACATCTTCCACCGTCATGTGGCCTGGGCTTGCACGCTTCTGGCTATTGTTCACTCGATCAACTACACCGTGGTTTTCCAGGTCTATGGTTAGTGCTTCTTAACGCAAGCATCAATATCATGCTAACAGGCTGGCATATCAGACGGCAGATATCACAGTGCACTCAAGCAGAATTACTTCTACATGGGTATTGTTGTATGTAACCATTCTCGGCACCATGTCTTTAGGAGGCTTCTAACATATTCCAGGCCACGGTGGTGATGTCTGTTATGCTCTTCCAATCCGGCACGTGGCTTCGTCAGAAGTTTTACGAAACCTTCTTGATTATCCACGTTATCCTAGCCATCTTAACCATATACACTCTTTTCCGGTAAGTCCTCCTCCGAGCACCAAAATGCTTTCACTAACTAAAAGCAACCAGCCACACCAGCTTTGATGGCACCGCTTTCAACGGCTACCTTTGGCCAATGGTCGCCATCTGGGGCTTTGACCGCACCGTGCGCTACCTCCGCGTAATCTACTGCAACTGGAACGCCCGCTTCGGCAAGGGATTTATCAATACCACCTCCACCGTGTCCTATAGCCCGGCCAGCGATCTCATCCGCATCGAAATGACCCCCGCCGCCCACAGCCTCACCCCCACCCCTGGTCAGCACTACTACCTCTACCAACCCTTGACCCTACGCGGCTGGGAGAACCACCCATTTACTCTGGGCTGCTACAACACATCTAGTGCAGAGGCAAAACTCATCTTCTACATCCGTCCCTACGACGGCTGGACCCGGCGTCTCCGCGACCAGTGCCAGAAGTCTGGGGGTAAGGATTTGACCATCGCGCCTCGGCTACTTCTGGAAGGCCCCTACGGCCACCAGGTCCCGCTGCACACCTTCGACACTCTTCTTCTGATTGTCGGAGGCACCGGTATCGCCGCGGCAGTCCCGTACATCCTCGACCACGTTTCTCGTCTCGCAGCCGGAGGCAAGACCCGCACCACCAGGATCCACCTCGTCTGGTCCGGCCGTCAGAGACAGATGTTCGATGAAGTCTGCTGCGCGGATTTGGTCGCTGCGCTGGAGTGCGCGGATATCCACGCCATGCTGTATTGCACGGACAAGGGTAGCATGGGGGCGATGACTACCGTTGTCACCGGCGACGAGAAATCCAGTGCTGCAGTCCCGCAGGTTGATGCGGTGGGCGCAGAGGCAAAGGAGGCCGGCCAATTCGTGCAGGATTCTTCCAGCCAGGAGTCCCGACCCATGAAGGTGGAGGATCTTGGTCTGGAGGTGCGCTACGGGCGCCCAGACATCACGGCCACCGTGCAGTCGGTCGCGGAGGAGGCCCGCGCCAGTGTGTCTCGGTTGGCGGTGTTAACGTGTGGCCCGGCGGTGATGGCGGATGAGTGCCGGATGGCGGTTTATGGGGTGATGAAGGGGGGATTCCGCCAGGTGGAGTACTTCGAGGAGGCTTTCGGATGGTAGACAGGTTTGTCTTCTACTCTAATTGTTTGTGGAGGAGAGGGAGGGCATGACTTATGATGTGCTGGGTATCCTTTAATGCACGTATTTATGTTTATAGTAGTAATCAAAAGTTCATTACTTTGCTTAAGCAGAATCGAAGACATTCATCGCCAACGTATGGCCTAGAATGAATAAATGCCCTGCTGATCCCGCAGTCATACGGTACGACCAATCCGTAGAGTTGCGACCGGAATTATACATGTGGCTCTTGAGGACTGGTGGCATGCGGCTCAAGTTGTGAGTCCACTACTTGTGATAAAAGCCCAGCCTATCTCGCCAGTCTAAACCGGTAATACAAGTTTTCACTTCTCTCTATCTGATCAGTGCCCAATCTCCGACCTGCGAGACATGCAAAGGCAAGCATAGCCGAGATATATCGGAAGCGCACACTCGCAAACTCCATCCCGAAACGGTTGGGTGGGGCGCTGTATCCCTAGGGCTGCCAAGAGATCCGAGCAGCTTCTCGTCAGACCGGGACCACTACTACCGTGTCGAATTCGCAAGATGGTACCCAGATCAGTCTTGTGCGGCTTCCGTTTTTCGCCTTCCTATGTTTGTGCTCGATTGGCTGATACCCGCGACCATGCAATGTATTAAGCGGAAGACTCACAATCTATCTTGCGGTCATGGATAGCGTTGCAATCCGCCAAACTCGCTGTTTACAGAACAGGCAACTTGCCCATTTCGCAAGGGGCGGGGGCAGCCGGACTTACTTTAGGGCTATGAGTTAACCGCCCGCGTCATACTGCTGCTTTAGCTTGTATCGCGGTAAAAAGGGCCTTTTAACAACAAATTCCGATATGGTGTAGTGGCTAACATCGCCGTCTCTCACACGGCAGCCGGGGGTTCGATTCCCCCTATCGGAGCTCAATCTCAATTTCTTTTGCTCGGTTGGCTGATCTTTTGCCCCTCCTGTCCTGGGTCTGTCCTGTCTCATAGCAGTCAATCACACAGATCCTTTTCATGCAACATCCGATATGGTGTAGTGGCTAACATCGCCGTCTCTCACACGGCAGCCGGGGGTTCGATTCCCCCTATCGGAGTCACTATCTCAGTCCTTCTTGGCCTTGGTTTTTGGAGTTTTGTCTTGCGAGATTTGATCTTTTGCTGGGTATGGGGTTGAGTGTTTGGCACGGTCTAGGTGTTGGATGGAGGAGACTGTGCCGTGCGATTGGCCTGTCGAACTGCAGTTCCGTTTTTGGCATTGAAAATTACGCTCCACTCTAGCACCCATGTCGGACGTGCAAGAGTACTGGGTATTTGAGAGCCTAGGATAGGAGTAATGAGGGAGGAGGGAGCGAGGGAGGTTACCAGTGTAGTCTGTTGATATTACTGGCTGTTTTTGGTGTCTCGGATGTCGAGTGAAAAAAGACGATTTTGAATGATGTAGTTCAGGATAGCAGGAGAGGGTGTTCGTAGAGTATATTGTGGGTTTGGGGGTGGCTAGCATAGACGTTGATCTGAATTCAGGTTGTGCGATACATGAAAGACCTGGAAAATACAAATGTAATATGTACTTTCTCACAATTCATGTGTAAATCCTTCGCAATTTGGCGAGACTAATATCATTTCTTGCTGTCTTATTGTTCGCTACCCAGGAGGGTTCGACCGGGAAGAGCCGTGTAGATATATCTAACCCCAAGCCTGCCTCGGGTCTGCCTTTCTATTTCTCTCTCGGCCTCCGCACCTGGGATGAAAGGCAAAGTCAATCTCAGGGCAGGGGAAAGAAAGCTACCATGGTTGCAAATATCGAGGTATAAGTACGTAGATCTTGAATACCTGCTATTTAAACTTCACTTCCGCTCGTCTCGCACGGTAGCTCGCTTGATCCCGAGCGAACATGCAAAAAAAAGTCAAAAGAGATAAGCTCCGATAGGGGGAATCGAACCCCCGGCTGCCGTGTGAGAGACGGCGATGTTAGCCACTACACCATATCGGATGTTGTGTGATCAGAGGCCTTATTTCTGACACCAGGTTCCTAAATAGATGCTCAAGCCGTATCCGCTGCGAAGCACACAACCGACCGGCCAGCCTGCGAAAGTCGTTTGCTCTCCGCAGCTGCCATGTGAGCAAAGAGAGATCGCCGAGGAAAACTAATAAATGCAATACAGAAGCCAGTGAGATTGACAAAACAGAAAAGGCCATGAAATTAAAATGAGACTGCTTCCTACGGTTGAGATGGTCCGCTGTGCTTGACGCCCACCACCATTACATTGTTGAGGTTTGACATCTGCGGAGCCCATATCTTCCACCAGGTAACTCAGTCACCCTGAGTCTCTGCATACGACGTACAAGGGGACGGATCTGCATTCACGGGTGGATACAGTGCCCTTCTGCTATATGACAGACCACCACGAGATTAGCGGATTGGCCGTCTGAAAATCAAAGACTTCCAAGTCCGAAAGTACGGTTTCCCTCTCGATGCTAGGGCAATCTCTCCAGCATGATACTGGCTAGTGTCTGGTTGACGAACGATGCGTAGCAGACATTCTGCAAGTTCTGACTCAACAATAGCGACCCACCACGCCGAGCTTACATCTTGTGACTCGCTTCGCGAGGCCGAATCAGCAGACCATTATCATCTGGCCTTCATCGCGGATACCCGTACGACGTCTGGAGACCGCTTTTCTGCATCTTCTCATGGTTGAATGCGCAACGTGCACTCATTGATGCACTGCTTGTGATTTGACGACGGGTGTTTTCAACCACCTTATTCCATTCTGCCAGCCACTCCCCGAGCCCTTGGTGAGCCACATGTATTGTTTTGTTTGTCAGTCGCTCGAAATCCGCTCCCGGCAGTGAGGCCTTGTTGCGACACTCTGAGAAGTAGCGTTTTAAGGCATTCATAAAGGTGCCCTGTAGACTTTTCACGAAGAATTTGCTGAGTGTGAACGGCAACAGTGTATATCAGGCTGCGAATGATTCCCCACCTGACATCACCAATGGCTATCTTCATATAGCCACCAAGTGGTGTTATTTTCAGCAGGCCAATAGACAACAGGTTCCCGCACAAGAATGGCAAGTTCGAAGCCAGTGAGTAACATGCGCAGTTAGAGGGTCCGGACCACGAAGGGCCGGAAATGCGGAAAACAGTCAAGGACAGGCTGTCAATACACAAGGAGAAGAAAGTCTTAGACAAGTAGCATTGTTTTTATGAGAGCCTTCAATTGCGGTCCGATAGTTTGTGTGGATGCCAGGCGGCTTCCTAGAAGTGCTTCTTCCGAAATGCCTTTCTCTTCGCGCTGTGCTTTGTCGTGTTTCCTCCTTCTGCATGTCGAGTTGCCATTGTTGGAAATGTCCAATCTTTCTTCTTTCTCCGTGTAACTGTAAATTTGTTTGACAATCGAGCGTTGTCCCAAGTACTTGTTGGCGGCGCCATTGCCGAACTCGCTGGCAGACTTATCATCCTTGGGGGGGTCAGGCTTGGTGTCACTATTGGGAACGTCGGTGGTATTCTCGGGTAGCTTGTGGACATCGAGTTAACGGGTCTCCAAGTTATTTAAGGGCTGTCTGCCTTTTCTTTATCGAGGTTTCGTTGTTGTTTCCACATAAGTCAGGGTCGATAATCTGTCCGCCAGGGGCGAATAATAACAACACGTTCTGGACTCGCTGCACACATGCGAGCAGGTGTAAATGATGGCGACACAACTTCCTGAACTCGATTACAAGCATGCGAGCGACTTCCGCTGGTTATGGGAAGTATGCAATCGAGTTGCAGTTGATTCGGACACCCCGAACGCTAGACCTGGAGTTGCTAAATTGCTCTTGGACCGCAGTGTCTGCAGTACGCGATCTGCCTGCAGTGGCTAAGATCCACTACTAAATGTTAAGAGAACTCAGAATTGTCTGAGTAGGCTTTTGATGCGTACGCTTCCTGTTTGTTGTGACGGCTTATCCTCGAGAGACTTGCCACTCTCGACGTCGACCACATCCACAAAACAGCTGCAAAGAAGCAAAACATCACGTCCTAACACGGCACAGTCTGGCTTGTTGGTTTGCCCCGTCCGTCTTCACTGGGAGGTGGGTAAGATATAGTAAGATCCGTGGATAAGGCGAGGAATGTCCGCAGGACACAGCCCAGATCATTTTATCAACGCAGATCGTAGTATGAGATGTAGACGGATTCTTGGCCATAGGCGTAGAGGAATTGCCGGGTTTCAGCACCGAAGACATTCTCATACCAGTCTAAGCAGTTAGCAAGCAGTTGACAACTACTTTACTCAATGGTTGCATGATCAATCTGCTTTCGAGTAGCCTTCCCTCCTTTGTTGCCAACCTTAGCAACGAACTCCTCGTGGGTTTGCGATTGAGAGTGAAGGTTATTCGTTGAGGAGTACTGCTTCTCTCAAGTAGTTAGCAAGTAGTTGGCAAGTAGTTGATAAATAATAAGAGATTCAACTTACACTACCCTTGGAGAAGCCTTCCGTACGGCAAAACACCTCGCCGCAGTGTATCTCGTGTTCGAGGTTGGAGTTCTAAGTAGTTGTCATATAGTTGACAAGCAGTTGAGAACTGCTTATGAAGTATTTACGAGTAGCCTGCTCTTGTTCCTTTTGGCTGGCTCGGCCACCATTGTCCTCCTTTCCAAGGACATCATCTTGTTTCTCAAACTGTGACTTGACGTGAGTGCGGAGGCTGTTGGTAGACTGGATTCAATTTCTTTTGGTTTCGCAAAGGTCATGCAGACCTGACTCTAGTTCATGATCCAGACCAACAGCCGAGAACAAAACAGGTCAACGCGCTGCAGGGAACAGTGATCCATTTAGAAACGAAGAGCGTTACGACTTTCCCGTTCCTGTGCTTGTTGAGGATATTTGTCACGCAGGAGTCCGCGCTCTCTCGTCTGTCATTGAGACGCTTTAGCAACTCACCACGACGTTTATGCAGGCAGGGTAATAGAGCTGTAAAGAAGTAGCTGGCTATACACACTGAATCAAGGAATGGCAACTTGAAAGAAGGCCAGTCTAACTTAGTATGGATGAAGGATGAAACCAAAGCTCTTCCTTTTATGTCATTCGATTCGCTGGTATTAGATCTGCTGGCTTCTGAGGTTCTGCATAAGAGGCCCCTCTTTGTAAATTCCCTTGTGAGGTTTACGGCCTGCAAGAAATAGACCTGGCGTCCTCGTAGTTCGCCAAGAAGGGACGCGCACTAAGCCAGGCGGCTGTAGTGGCTATACCATGTAATCGCGAACTCTTTGACGGCCAATTCGTCGCCACCGTATCTTGTCGATCATATTTTCATGACCGATTTGCCCACAAAACTGTATAGACAGGTGAGAATCTGCCCTTGGCAGAAGGAGACTGCGATATGACGATCAAACACCGTTCCATTGACAGACCGCGTTCTCCATCCCACCGTTCTCCAATCTCCATCTGCGAGGGGACGGTGGTGGCATATTGCGGGATCACTCAACCTGGCTGGCTCATCTTGCTTTAATTCTCGTGTCCGCCAAATGAGCGCTGTATTGCGCCGGTGAAGGTTGCTTTTTAGGCGCTCTCTCTTTCTCTCTCCACCAAGCCAAATCCATGATTCATCTCGACTTGACGCGGGCACAGGCATTGGCGTTTTTCTTTGGTTTATTCATCTCTTTTCGTCATATTCCTTCTTCTCTCATTTCTCTTTCTTTTCCTTCTCACTCTGTCGTCTTTGACCGCATCTCCCACCTTCGCCTCGTTGGTCTCAGTCCTTCCAGCGTCCGGCGACGTCTCTTTGGTTTTCGCCCTCTTTGTTCTCCTGCATTCCTGCTTCTTGGCTCTGATGCGCTGCATCTTCTCCAAGTACTGCGGGTGAAAAGAACATTATCCTTTCTTCGATCCGTAGGTGCAGTGGCGCAGCATTGCTGGTATCTGTGCTGCGACGGCAGGCTCCAGTTTTCGATCATGACACAATCTCGCGACACGCCCAACCACTTCCAACCACGTGTGCACGCTCTGTGATCGGGCAGAATGAGCCCACGCAATTGAAGCAGCTTGGAATCACAGAGATGGCTGGGAAACCTTTATGCCTGACGGGCTCGCCACGCTTGTCCACCACATCGCAATAACCCATAAGTAGCCTCCTTCCCACGTTTGGGACCGAGAGTAGGACAAGCGTCTCGTACATAGATCTTTCATTGATTATGAAACCTCAAGGTTCGTCCATTCCAAAAGCAAGCTCGCTTCTTCTCGCAACGCTCTTGTGTTCCAATCGCGCGCACCATTGATCTGTATCATCCAGCCGAGAGACAACGCCACATCATCTTTCGTACACTCGCATAATTGGAGTTGAGGAATTGGAGATACAATAGATTCCCTGTCCGATCCATTTTTCCTGTAAGACTGAGAAGCGGAAGCTGATGTGTTCATCTTTTGAGGGCTTCCTATGTTAAGGTAGAATTGCTGAGAGATCGCTTGTTTTTCGATATAGTGAGAGCGCTGAATCAGATCGGAATGACTAGTGTGTCCAGCCTGATTCCAGTCCTCGTGCTCAGGCACTGGCGACTGGAAATGAGCCATTTGCAGCGGCAAGAGTAATATAAAGGAGGACTCAGCTACTAACGAAGCCGTTCTCCAATCGAATCGGTAGAGATTCATTGCGGATTTCTACTCTCTCCGCCCTTGCGCAGACAATTTCTTAGGCCCGACTTCTGGAGCTCATCTGTATCTCTCGGTTGAATTTTATGGCTATCATCCCCCATCTCACTCCCTCCCCCCTGCTCCTTTTCTGGGCCCAGGGACACCGACAATGTTCCTACCGCGGCATTTTGGTGTGGTCTGATCGAGTCTTCTGGATGGCTTCAGCCTCGTTCGAGCGTCTGTTTCGAACATAGTTTCATTGGTATTCCTCGCGTTTCCGCTATTGCGATTTTCTTCTGACAAGTTCACGGCATTGAAATCAGCCAGGAAATGGAGCTGGAAAATGTCGCGTCCTTCCAATGTCAGTCCGTCATATTAATGGTAGGACGAGTTCATACATCGCGCAGCAATAACCGAGGATGTTGGGGGTCTCACCTTCCGTTCGGAAGTTTGATCCAGTCGCTCCTAAAATATGAAGCTGGCACAAAGCTGCAGATAGCTCAAGTCGTGGTTTGAGACAGCCATATTGAAGCCAATCTTCTTGTTTCGTTCTACTCTGTACTAAAAACTTTGCGCGTTCTTTCCTTCTTCCGACTCTGATTGATCTGCCGACTCCGGGGGTCATTGAGCACTCTTTCTCCCATTTCCTGTTTTCAATCTTCTCCTCCGAGCTGTGCACACATTTGTAGCGTGTCCTCAAGCCATTTCCATGCTAGCAAAGGCTCTTGGCTCCACGACATAATTCATTCAAGGCCCATTGCCTCCCTAACGTTCTGCGCGGCAATATCGTCGTTGTCATGGACAGTCTCTTTCCATGCAGGGTTATTGCCTCCTGGTAATACCAATGTCCTGTCCTGACAGAACACAACGCCTTGGCTTACCGCTTGTTGTTCTAGGCTGTGGACTAATTATCCTGCCGCCAGAAGTAACGTTTTCATCTCCAAGGGAGAGCGGGAGCTGCTTCCTGGTGCTTCATTGTGTGCGATAGCCATAGCCAGCTTGTCAGAAGGTGCAGCCAAATTGGGTGAGCATTGGACCCTGCAAAGCTATTAGCAATCATCATTATCTGGTAATGTGGCTTGTAAGGATATACATACCAGACCCCTGCCGACAAATGTAGAGCACCGTAGGTAGTTGTTGATACATTGTAGACACATCTCTCTAAATGCAGCACATGCAGGCACCCGGTTGGCTTCCGACCCATTGCGTCAGTTGCTGATCTTGCGTAGAGACACAAGCTCATATAAGCATGCTCTTGCGAGTCGCGCCGTTGACGACATCGTCTCTAGTAGTGACACAGCCTGGAACGCTCTGCGTGTGATAGCTAGTAAGCCATTTGTATCTGCGGCGCTGTATCTGGCCAGTCAAGGCCAGGTTCTGCTTGAATTGAGCTTTCGGCTAGACGTGACAGTGTCTTCGCTCAGTGAAATTCTGGCCGTTGCGTGTATTTGAGCTTGCAACAGAAGTCGCGAGTTGCTCTGCTACCTCAGGACTGATACTGCCACCAGTTGACAATCTTCTATATTAAAACAGTCAGATATGAATTGCTCAGGTGCACAGCATTCATTGAATGATGCAAGCGTCCGTACTCTACAATATGCTCGCTAAGCATGACTCCTGAGGCAATCGTCGATAAGCAGCGAGGCTGTCGTGATGTAAGTTGCGCGCACCTTAGCACATCCGAATGGATATTCAGATGATTTGATGTGTTTTGTACCACAATCAGTCGTAGGGTATGACATTGCAACTGCCCGAGGGCACCGCATTGTTCTGCCCTGTGTTGCCCAATCTCCTTCAATATGGGACATGAGCTTGCCGCTGTTCTCTGGCAACGAGAGTGCCCTTCTCATGCTCAGGCCCCGGTCCACTTCGTTGAGTGTGATTTTACTGGAATCTGTGCCCGCAAGGCTGGCACAAGTTCGAAACAGCGCCCAGGAGTTGGGAATGAGAAATCGCCGTCCTCCCGGCTGGTCTCACAGCCCTAAATAATGAGAGGGAGACATCTGGCTTTGCTTGGAATTGATTTGATGGCTTTTGCCACACCAGTCTTGGCGAGTGGAAGATCGGCGTGCAGTTTGAGATTGGCAATGATGATGACTCGGATTGTGTACTATCTTCGCTTTCTGGTCCAGCTCGTCAAGGATACAGGTGACAGCGAAGAGCTCGTCGTCCATTGGCGGCGCGGTGTCGCCCCCCTCCTGAAGGGCATCTGTAATATCTGCTACAGGCCATCCCATGCATCGCCGATCTCAGCAATATCATTGCTCGCCTGAAGCCTCCAAAGGGCACGATAGACACGACATTTCTCAATCCACGTCGAAGGGCCGGCGTCCTGTGTGAGGACGCTTGCAGTTTCATTGGACTGGGGACGCTCATAGAGAGGGGGACCTTCCGCTTTTAACGTCGGGCAAGTCTGGTTGATTAGGGCCACTGACAACTGCACTCCTGCTGCAGTAACCGTGTCGAATCGCTTCATGTCAAAGCGAACTGATAAGAGCTTTAGGAATATGATATCTGAAGTCTTTTCATATCCGTATGGTCAGACTCGATGAATGACACAATCCTTTGGTGCTTCAGGCCCGTAGACAGTAGCAGGTCCATGTTGCCCTGAGATAGTATGGGCCGCTTTGCAAGGTTACGAGGGACTTTCCTGACTGGCTTCGGCTCCGACTCATTATTTTTGCTCAAGAAACCCCATGAAACCGTTGCTCTGCCTCCTCCAGGCACGGCGAGAATGCAGAAGAAATAACCGGCGTATGATCGCGTTTTTCGTGGCTGAGATCTCCGAATCGGCACATCCCCTGTGGCACCCCGTACAGCATCTACTTCATGGACTCGGGTCCTTAATCATGAAAGGCCTGGATATTACGTGGTAAAGCAAGTCCGACCGTCGTAATCACCATCGGTAGAATATCCCTCCTCTCATAGATAGGTCATTGTCATTGTCCTGATCGATTGTGTCACCAATCTTTCGTATCATTTTACCTGGGCACAGCACCAGCCGTATCGCGTGGGCCGCCACTCAGCGGCTTATCTGGCA